CAAAATTTATAGTGTGAGCACCAAGAACCTACTTTGGATGTCCAAAAAGTAAGTTTTGCTTTTCCGCCCTCCATTCTGTGGCAGTGCCATTGGCAATGTGGGTACCCTGTGAGATCACTCACATATAAGGAAGTGCAGACAAGAAAATCACAAAGGCCAATAATTCAGTGTGTTATCTTTAGTGATATTAACACTGTTTATGGACATATTTTTAGAATCATTATGTGTCAATTGCTGTGTTTGCATTATCTTATTTAATCCTTGCAATATTTCTATGACACTATTATCATTATTATCTCTATTTTGTAGCCAGGAGAGTTAGATTTCAATCTGATGAGTAGTGAGAAAGTATGATGTAGAAAAATGAACCTTGTTTTGAATTCTAATGTCAGTGTGCTTTGGACTTCATTTTCTCCATGCATACAATGAGGAAGTTTACTTTTATTTATTATCTGTTCATTTATTTGGTACCAAGGATTGAACCCAGGGGTACTTAAACACTGAGCCACATCTCCAGGCCTTTACTTTTTATTTTGAAACAGGATTTCACTAAGTTGCTTAGGACCTTGCTAAGTTGCTGAGGCTAGCTTTAAACTTGCAATCCTCCTGCCTCAGCCTCCCAAGCCAGAGGGATTACAGGCGTGCACCACCAAACCTGTTAGGAAGTGTATTTTTTTTAAGAGAGGGAAAGAGAGAGAGAGAGAGAGAGAGAGAGAGAGAAAATTTTTTAATATTCATTTTTCAGTTTTCGGTGGACACAACATCTTTATTTTATGTGGTGCTGAGGATCGAACCCAGCGCCCCGCGCATGCCAGGCGAGCGCATTACCGCTTGGGCCACATCCCCAGCCCAGGAAGTGTATTTTTAAATCTCCTTCAAACCCTGAAAATTTAAATAGAGGTTTACAATCCTTATCTAAACCCTTACAACCAGTTGTGTGTTGGAATTCCTAAGTTTTTGGATTTGTGTAAAATGATATGTTCAAATACTGTCACTGCAGTGGCATCTGGGGTAGCATCTTATAAGCACACAGTGATGTTTCTGCCTGTATTTTAATAGCAGGAAAAAAAATAAAGATCGTTAAAAAAAAAAAAAAATCCTAGGAAAAGACAATAGAATGAATTGTACAACACTTTTCTATGTTCATATATGAATACACACCACGGTACCTCCACATCCTGTTCAGCCATGGAAATGAGATATTATACTCCATGTATGTATGATGTCAAAATACATTCTATTGTCATGTAGAACTAAAAGGAACAAATAAAATTTTTTTTAAAACTCTATATTAATTTGTTTAAAGACAACAAAAGCTTTTGATTTTCAGAGCTCTGTGTTTTAAGGTCATGGCTAAGGAATTGTGAACCTGAGAAAGGACTGAGGGAAGTGAGCATGGATGATATAAAACATTATGTTCCATTATCATTAACAGGACCAGATTCATAGAACTGATGAAAGAAACATTGCATGGGAAATGCTTTTCACAGTACCTAAAACAATTTAGGTGCTAAATAAGACTAGCAAGAAATCATAATAGTTCCATTGTTAAGCTTTGTACTTGATTTTGGTGGCAGAGACATAAATAATCATCACTGACTGTAAAGATGGCACGTGGTCTTATTACATTGTTCTAAGAAAAGTTGACCTCAAGGGACACATAAAGGGAGTGACAATGATCAACCAGGAATCAATCAGGACTCACGTCCCATCTCTGAAACTACTGGACACATTTGAATGAAACGGATAATATTAAAAACTCTAAAAGCCTACTTTATAATAAGTTCCAATAAGTTAAAGGAAAAGCACAACAATAATTGTAAAGCCAGTGCATGGTGCCTCCCCCAAAAAGAATCAACTGAATCTAGACTTTAGAAAGCCCAGACTTTCACCACTGACATTTGTGCAATGGATTCAGTGTTTTGAGATATGACTAATAGTTTCTGGTGGAGGTATATCCAGGTAGTATAATTTGCTTAGAAAGCTTACTCTTTTTTAAAAATTAAATATGCGCATAAAAGTTAGGTCCTTAAAGCCTTATAAATCTTACATTTATGTATGAAGTTTACAAACCTTATGTTCATATTTATATATAAAGGTTGCAAACTTTATATTTAACCTTTAATAAAGACCTTGAATAATAAAGGCATGGCTAGTCATACACTTTTTTCAAAATATATATATATTTTTAAGTTGTAGATAGATACTCTACCTTTATTTTATTTATTTATATTTTTGTGGTGCTGAGGATGGAGCCCAGGGCCTCACACTTACTAGACAAGCACTCTACCACTGAGCTACAACCCCAGCTCTAGTCATTCACTTTTGAAAATGTCATCTCGGTAAAGCAAATATGTGGATTAGAAAGAGGGAAATTATTATTGAAAAGTGATGACCATTCAGAGGTTATTTACTGCACTTTGTCCTGCACAGAATGCTGAGACTTAGCAGATGATAGAGAGTTAACACCTTTACCAAGGGCCAGAGAAAGGAGAGAGGGATGTGAATGGAGTTTATGTTGAAGACAAGGTCAGAGAGCAGGAAAAGCACACAGAGGGGGAGCAAAGGTGTTGGCAGAGGAGGGTAGATGCTTTCTAACGCCCCAAATCCAGAAATCACAGAGATTCTGCAGTTCAACGCTCCTCCCCCAACACACGCTATTTGGGAGCTTCAAGTGACAATGTTGGCTCATTACAAAATTAATGGGCCATATCTATATAACCTGTGATTGCGCAGTTCAGTTGCTCTAACAGTGGTCATAAAGTATGATCTACAGCCTCGCTTTGAAAGGTCATAGATCACAGATAATCTGCAGACTGGTTTGGCTGCAAAGAGGGAGCATTCTTCTGTGGGGCAGGGTTTCTCAGAAACAGAAGAGAAAGGACCTGCTTTGATTTGGATTGACTCTACATCGATACCAATCTTATCTAAAGAAACCTCATTTCTTCTCCTGTCACCATCAATACTGGAAAAAATATAGAGGAAGAAAAAGTGAATTTTATTGTTTCAGAAGCGTGCTACTTCAAAGGAGCCCATGAACCAGCGTGGGAAATGAGAAAACATGACCTCTAAGAACACATGGAGTCTCTCTTCCCGTCGCCTAGGGCAGGAGGCCTCATGGTTGTCCATTCCTCCTCTTTGTCAACCCTCTTTAACTCCCCATCATTGTGCACACCACAGAAGCACATAGTGTGTGTGATGGAGTGAATCAAGAGGACCTGCTACCTTCTTATGTGTTTAATGGTAGAGAATAGACACGGCAGAAAATCTGAGAAAGTTTGATCACACTAGTTGGTTCACAGAGAGAAGACTGTGAGACTCTAGATGGACAACGTGGCAATCCTGTGTGATCCCGCTGGCTTTAGTTTCATATGGTTGGTTGCCCTATTACCTTTGATTCATTCAGTGAGCACCATTGGATCCTCAGTTTCACATAACTGCTTGGAAAATTCATGTCACTATTCACTGAAAGGACAGAAGGGCAGGGAGAAAATGGGTTACTCATCATTTTTGACAAGTTAAAAAAAAATCAAAGAATGTTGAGATGAGTTGTGTTGTTCTTGAGCATATATTTATTTTTCCAAATCAGGCAAGAATGTCACCTGGTGCATATGAGAATCATGAGCCAGTGCTGATGATTTAAGAATTTGTCCTTTATCTCATTGGATCTTTCTACTGTTCTTCACTGCTGAGAAAAGATGATTAAAGATGTGTGCTGTCATGAACATCAAAACCAGCAATTTTCTATAAATAGTAAAAGAAGAGAATAGGCATCTTTTTTTTTTTTTCTTTTATTCTTTTGTTAAACCTTGAGTCATCTGTTCTGGTTAGGTCAGTGGCCTTGAATTTACTAGGTATATCTTTTGCTTTCCCTGAGGGTTTTTGATCAGGCCTTGGGGTGAGTATGCATATTTCACTTGAACTTCTCACAAACCTTCAGCCGATTCTAGCTGACTTTAGCTAGAGACTTCAGACTCTGTCTGAAGCACCTTTTTCTTTTTTGCATACAGAGAAACTCTGAACACCTGTGATATTCTTGCACATAAACCTGATATCTAGGAACCACATCTACTTGCATAACATTATGATTAAGAAGATTCTTGATTTTTTAAAAAAATCATACAAACTTAGAATTGGGGGAAATTATGCTTGGTTTGATTGATAAATCTTGTCATAGCGGCAAGAAATAATACCCTAGCAAATTAGAGAGTTGATGTAGCTTTTGAAGATGACTCCTTTTCAGGAAAATTTTGGATCATTATATTTTAGGCTCTGGGAACAGAATAGTTGAAATAAAGAAAAGATGATGGGGAAAAGCTGGATAGAATAGCACAAGGAGAAACATGTGTTTAGGGGCTTTTTAGATGAGAATAAAAATCACAGGAATTCATTTCGTGAAAGACAATCTACACATATGCAGACAAAAGCAGAGACAGAAGACAGATTAGTGGGTGGTTTGAGGTTGAATAGATGCATAGAATTTAAGAAGAAAATATATTTATAGATAGAAAAAGTAATAACATCTTTTAATGTTTTGAACCATTGCATCTTACACTTTTTTGTTTTGAGTACCAGGGATTGAACTTAGGGGCACTTAACCACTGAGTCACATTCCTAGCCCTTTTTTGTATTTTATTTAGAGACAGGGTCTCACTTAGTTGCTTAGGGCCTCCATAAGTTGCTGAGACCAGCTTTGAACTCTCGATCTTCCTGCCTCAGCCTCCAGAGCCACTGGGATTATAGGCATGTGCCACCATGCATGTGGTGTCTTACACTATTTCCAGTCACTAAAGTTGCTCAATGAGTGATACAATTTATGTGGACCTTTCACACACTGGTGAAGTGATTTGTCCACAATCACACAGCTAGTATGAAACAGAACTGGGATTCAAATTAGATTTATCTGACTCCAAAGCCCTTTTGACTATATTACATACTATAGTTTATTTGTGTTTTATCAAATGTATAATTATCACTGATTTTTTTTTGTATTTTGTTAGCTCACTATTTATGTCCAGCCAGAGCAAAAGCACACAGCTGAGTATGCTGCAAACATAACTAAAATTATATTTGATTATTTTGAAGACTACTTTGCTATCAATTATTCTCTTCCTAAATTAGGTAAGAATTATTTTTTCCTATTTTTAATATTGCCTTTGTTTTTACCTGAGTTGATTCATTGCATCTAATTAACTATCATCCCTAAGTCCTTTTCTTATATGCGTTCTATATGTGTGTGAGATTAATTAGATGTTGAGACATCCATTCTGGATTCTTCCAAAAATAATGTGTGTACTCTGTTTGGATCTATGTACAATGTTTATTTACAAATAAAAATGATCAAAAATAAAAGTATGTGCACTGAACTGCAGAGCTTATTAATGATGGAACAGAAACAGCAAACCAGATTAGCTTAAACAACCAGCATCCATCCCAATAGTGTACATGCCTTCCCAACATTTGTGGGCTGGAAAAGAAAAGGGGTAATTGATGTCGCAAGAGTTCCATGTGCTTCCAATCTTCCCATTGTTGTGCAAGACTAATTCTAGATTCTCCAGCAGTTAAAATGAAATGCTGGTGCTCCTTCCAGAAACATCTTTTTTTTTTTTTTCCTGATATGGAGGGAGGCATGTTTTCCTTTTAAAACAAAAGTCAGACTGTAAACAGAATAGTGTAGGTATGACATTTCTATAAATAGCAGAAATACCTTATTAATAAACTTGAGTGGTGTTGGCAGAACTTTAAATTTAAGATCCATAGAGTTGCTTGTAGTGATGAAATGAAAGGCGGTAAAAAAAGAAACCAGCCAACAATCGGCTTCCTTGCTCTTCTGTCTGCCCTTCCTTAATAAATTATCAATGCAAAACAACTCGAATGACAAATTTCCTACATGAGAATAGCTATGTCTGGGAGCAAGTTTGTATTTTTTTTTTCCAGTGGAAACAGTTCCCATTTTTTTTTTATTGCTTAACAGTGATTACAGAAGAAGACAAAAAGAGAAGCAAATTTTCATCCAAGTCAGAAGAATAATTAATAAAATATGAAGCACCTGAATTCAAAGGATTCCCCCCCCCACACACACACCCTTTATCTCACTTGTACTGCCCAGATGTAACCTGGGAAGTGGAACTCTGGTGAATTTCTCTGGCTCTTCTCCTTTCTTCCTCCTTCTCTTGTTCCTTCTTTATACTCTTTTATGAACATTTTTAACCCTTTCAGAATTAACAGCATCATAGAAGTAACTTCTACACTCATTACACTCCAAAAGTTAAACATACTTGTGCTATTTAATTATAATTATAGTGTTATTTAATTATAATTCCAATACTCAACCAGACATGATATTACCAAAAAATTTTATTCAGTGATAACATGCAAATTACACTTCACAATATTTTGAAAAATATCAGCACTTGGTAGAGATACTGCTCCATCCTTTCAGGGATATTTTTTTTTTTTTAATTTTTATTGTTGGTTGTTCAAAACATTACATAGTTCTTGACATATCATACTTCACACTTTGATTCAAGTGGGTTATGAACTCCCATTTTTACCCCGTATACAGATTGCAGAATCACAACGGTTACACATCCACTTTTTTACATATTGCCATACTAGTGTCTGTTGTATTCTGCTGCCTTTCCTATCCTCTACTATCCCCCCTCCCCTCCCCTCCCCTCCCGTCTTCTCTCTCTACCCCATCTACTGTAATTCATTTCTCCCCCTTGTTTTTTTTTTCCCTTTCCCCTCACTTCCTCTTGTATGTAATTTTGTATAACCATGAGGGTCTCCTTCCATTTCCATGCAATTTCCCTTCTCTCTCCCTTTCCCTCCCACCTCTCGTCCCTGTTTAATGTTAATCTTCTTCTCATGCTCTTCCTCCCTCAGGGATAATCTTATGACAAAACAATAAAACCTAAAAAGTAAAGAAAACTATTACTGTATCTTGACCTCCACTTAAGATATATCCCTTTTTGAAAAGCTTTATGCTTCAGAAATCTTTATTTTAACCAGAAATAAAGGGCTTTTCTTTGTCTTGTTTGTTTTTCAGGATCTTTTTATTGGTGCACCATAATCATACATAACAGTGAGATTCGCCATCATATCTGCACCTTTATACAATATAACAAGAAAGGGCTTTTCTTACATATTAGATGAAAACTTCAGTTTATTTCCACTTTTGTCCCTCATTTAAATTCTATGTAATGAAAAAATTACATGCTGATTACAGTTCATTGACCAGGGAATCTGTATTTTCCACTAATCAACTGAGCATTTTCTATTTGGGGATTTAGCTGCTTGAGGCTTCCTCCTTTTTCCAGGTATTAGGTCTATTATCAGCCTCAGCAAACATAAAGAATAGGAACTCCTCACAAAATCCGACACTTTTAGACCTGGAAGAGAAGGAAGAGAGAATATAACCAATTCCATGATTCTCCAACTTATTTAATACACCTAAGTAGATAGTAAGCTATTAGATTGATGGAGAATCAGGTGGACCTCAAACTGTATAGAGTTAAAGGGGAAAGGAAGTTTCGTATTCTCTATTATTCTCTATTCTTGGTTAGAGATTTATTTCTGTGCCCTTAGCCACTCTTTATTTCTCAGTCCTGATTTGAAGACTCTCTATTCTCTTTCTCTTCACAGCTTATCCTCAAAACAGATGCTTTTCATAAAATAAGTGAAAATCATGGAGGGGGGAGAAACCTAATATAAAGAAAGTACATATAGAGAGTGACAAAAGACATAAAATTATAAAGCCTTGAAAAAAGAAGTCATGAGTATTCTTCTTTTTAGGGAAAAAAAAAAAAAAAAAGACACGTTGCTATCTTAGAGCCAAAAGGAAAAACTCCCTGGAAGTTTTAAGACCAAAATGTTTGAATAAACCATTACTGTTTCTCACTCTAAGAAATTATTTTTAGATTTTTACAAAACATTCATCCAAAGAACTGAATTTGGTAAGAAATGCTATGAACAAATGGAAAGAATGCATTTCTCACTGGAGTCTTTTTTTTTCCATAGATAAAATCGCTATTCCAGACTTCGGCACTGGTGCCATGGAGAACTGGGGACTTGTCACTTACAGAGAAACAAACCTGCTTTATGATCCTCAGGAATCAGCCTCATCCAACCAACAGAGGGTGGCCACTGTGATTTCCCACGAACTTGTGCATCAGGTGTGCATGGGATATTGGCATCAAGTCAACTTTCTTTTTTTTTTTTTTTTTTCGGTTACTAGGGATTGAAGTCAGGGGCACTCAACCACTGAGCCACATTCCCAGCCCAGCCCTGTTTTGTATTTTATTTAGAGACAGGGTCTTACTGAGTTGCTTAGCGCCTCGCCATTGCTGAGGCTTGCTTTGAACCCACAATCCTCCTGTCTCGGCTTCCCAAGCCGCTGGGATTATAGGCATGCGCCACCACATGTGGCTCAACTTGCTTTTGAAACAGACTTAAAACCATAGGACTAATTCAAATTATCTATGACTTAGCAAATAAAAAATAGCTGATTCAGAAAATCCTGCATGAAGACCATTCTTAGTGCTAATACGTATTAACCATAAAGAAACTTTAAAAAAAATATTTTGCCATTGGTAAATGCACAGGCCTTCCTATAACTTTATAGATTCTCAGTAATATCTAAATAAAGGTAATAAGGCAAGGAGAATTTAATATCATTTAAAGATCCGGATAAGTAAAGCAGGAAATAAATACAGTGCTTGCCACTTCTCTGTCATGGTGTCAAAATTTAGATGGATAACTAACTGTTTTGAATTTTTCTAGTCTCTTCTACCATAAGAAGAATTGAACTCTATTGCTTATCATTTCAGTGGTTTGGAAATATTGTAACCATGGACTGGTGGGAAGACTTGTGGCTGAATGAAGGATTTGCTTCTTTCTTTGAATTCCTGGGAGTAGACCATGCAGAAAAAGAGTGGCAAATGGTGAGCCCAGAGCACATGCATTCCAGATCTCTTCTTCTCATTATGCAAAGCACGATAACGGGCCAGTGTTGGGATCCAAGGGTAATGTGCTTGGGAAGTTCATTGTGAGAATAGGGTGGAGCCAGCTGGCTTCCAGAGAACTATGCTTAAAGCCAATGCCTGGTCCCTACAAGGCAACTGACCACCACATCAGATATCCCTGAGAGATATCCTTGAGAGAATCACTTAAAAATACATGTTGAGGCAGGAAAAAATGAATAAAAAGACAGCCAGCATAGAAAATGGCCACCCTATGTTCAAGAAGTATCTACGTGCTAGCCCTTTGAAAAATGTCTGTCTTATTTTGCAAACTATTTACCTTAGACAGGGTGCTCTAATAGTGTGGTGAAGAGATAAAAGAATAAACTTAGTAGTTAGCTACAAGTTCAAATCTCAGACACATCATTTCTTAGATTCATGACAGAAATGTGACCTTGAGCAAGTTACATAAGCTCTCCTTCGTTCTCTCTTCAGTGTTCAATAAGGACATTGTTCTCTATCTTAGAAGCTTTAAAAGCTTCCAGAATATACATGTATTGACTATTAACCTAAAGTGTACCCCTGAGGGACCTGGAAAAAAAATACCCATGTAAACTCTATAGATTTTTTGTTTGTTTGTTTTAGAAAACTTAGCTGTACTTTGTATTTATATTTAGATGGTGTTAGTATTCTTATCTGATTGTACCTATGAATGTGTGTGTCCACAGAGATGTAAATGTGGGAGTAGAATTAGGAGATTGTGTTTGATGTAGAATACTGCCCTCTACTGGGAAGAACTAAAAATATAAATGCCTGAAACCCTTGCCATTTCCCTAATCTGCTTTTAAAAAGTAAAAAATCTAATTGGCAATTATTGCTTTTTTAAAATTTTAATCTATATCATGATTTTTTATCCATGGAACTGTTGACATCAGGGACAAGATAAATCTTGTACCCATCTTGCCCCAGTTGTGACAACCAAAAAATGTCCTCATATACTTCCAAATGGCACCTGAGGACAAAAAAATTCCTGGAGTAGATGAGAACCACTCATCTACACTGAAAATGTATGATTTTATAATTTATTGAAAATAAACTACATAAATAGAAAATCATTTCAGCCTTCTTTCAAAGGAATCCAATGCCCTTCTTATATCAAACTGTTGTAAAAAATTATGTTTGAATAGTGTCTGATATTTTAGTTTCAATGTTTGTTTCAAGAACACTGATAAAATTCCAGAAAGATTTGGTATGCAGATCTTGAAATTTCAAAAAAAAATTTAATCATACTGTATAATATATTCACAGTTTATCTGTTCCTTCATCCATTCATTCATTCTTCATTTAGGAAAACTAGAGAGGACCCAAAAATAAACAAAATGTATTCTAAGCCCTTAATGAGTTCCTAATTCAAAGTCTTATTGGTGAAGGGGTCAGATAAAGAGAAATGTTTTGTGAGAGAACTTTATAGTATCACAATAGTGAAGCCTTATTTCTTTGTTTTTTTTTTTAATCTAAGCTTTCTTTTTCTTTGTTTTCCATATTTTTATTGGTGCATTATAGTTGTACATAATCGTGGGATTCATTGTTATATATTCGTACATGTACACAATGTAACAGTGTAATTTGGCCAATATTGTTCCCCAATATTTCCCCTTTCCCTCCCTCCTTCCTCTACCAATCCCTTTCCTCTACTCTACTGATTTCCCTTCAAATTTCTTGAACCGCAACCCTTCCACATTTCCTTTCCTTTTCCCCCTCTAATTTACACATATGAGAGAAGACATGTGACCCTTGACCTTCTGAATTTGGCTTTTTTCATTTAACACAATGTTCTCAGGTTTCCTTCATATTTGTGTAGATGACGTACTTTCATTCTGTATAGCTGAATAAACTTCCTTGTGTATATATACCACATTTTCTTTAACCAGTCATCTGTTGATGGATACTGAGGCTGATTTCATGATACTTGGCTATTGTAAATTGTGCTGCTGTAAACATGAGTTTGCATGTATCACTATAGTACGATGACTTCAGTTCTTTGGAATGAATATTGTGGAGTGCTGTATCTGGGTCTATGGTGGTTCCATGCCTAGTCTTTTGAGAAACCTCCATACTGATTTCCATAGTGGTTATACTTTTTACAATCCCACCAACAGCATAAAAGTATTCCGTTTTCTCCGTATCCTCTCCAGAATTTACTGTTGTTCGTATTTTTGTTTTTGTTTGTATTCTTGACTGCCATTCTGACTGGAGTGAGATGAAAGCTCAGTGTAGTCTTGAGTTGCATTGTAGAACCTCCTTTCATCAGTGAAAAAACTCTGAGGGCTAGGAAGTTCACATGAGCTTTCACATAGACAATAGATATTGAAGCTAAGACTGCAGTCCAATTTCCAGATACTGAGAACAGGATTCTTTCTATGCAAACTGCCTATATGTACAAAAATCAAAATCCAAGTCAAAATTAAACTTAACTAGCAGTCATCATTTGACAGCAGTACCTTGCCTATTATAAATAGACACCATAAAATTGGAAAATGTCAACAAATATGCCATGCTCCCCTTTGGGAAATATTTTAAATTAAGTAGGCTCAATAAAGTTTCTGATTTTTAAATTACTAATGACTTAACAAAGTTAAATTTCAGATTCTTATTCTTTAAGAAATAAAATCATAATAGCAGCTAAGGTGTTAGTTTTCCTTTCATGCCAGGATCTATGTCAAGTGCTTACCATGAATTATATCTTCAATCCTGTGCACAAGTCCACAAAGGAGATGCCATTATTACCCCTGTCTAGTGAGGGAGGGAACTTGCTTAAAGATAGCTTAGAACCAGTGAAGTTGGGCTATACTTTTAGGCCTCTCGACCACTCTGTTTTGCTGAGAAACACAAAATGAGAAGTGATTATAAGAACTGAAGAATAAGCTAGTTCTTTTTTTATTAATTATAAGTTATCCAAATTCCAAGGACAAATTCACAGGAAATAAAAACTGAACCTCAGCTCAGCAGATTGACATGCTGCTTTACTTAATTCTCAGAACAAACTCATGAAATGATGTCACTGCTCCCATTGCACAGATGTGGCTATGGGGCTTAAAAAGTTTGGAATAGTCCAAAAGTCACACAGAAGTGGTAAAACAGAATTCATACCCATTTTTGTCTTTTTGGCCTGTTTATAGGAGAATGAAGTCAAAGCAGTTATAAATAGAAGAAGGAAATTAAATCAGTACAGATCAATCAGTGCAAAATATGACTAATTTGAAGGCCTACTGTTTGTTTCAAATAATTTGAGTAATTTATATTAATTTTCTCTCAATTTTTATTATATATGGTATTACAAAATGTGCACCAGTCTAAAGGAAGTGCTCTATTTCTTTGGCTCGTTCTGTCATTTCAGCGTGACCAGATATTACTTGAAGATGTATTACCTGTACAAGAGGAAGATTCTTTACTGTCTTCACACCCAATAGTCGTCACCGTGACAACCCCTGATGAAATAACATCTGTTTTTGATGGAATATCCTATAGCAAGGTGGGGAACTGTGGCATTGCTTTGAAATCTTCCTGTTTACTGACTTTTCTTTCAAGTAGAGGCTAAAAATGGTAAGAATGGTAGTATACCAAGTGGGCTCTGATTTTTATAATTAGTAGTAATTTAACAGTTACATTTTATAATCTGGTTGCTTAAAGATCAAGATAATGATAACTGGGCATTGCCTCAGGATTTTTGAATTCAGTGTTTGAATTTTTCTCTTTTCATTTGTGCTTGTACCTGCTTCCTGCTTTCATTCTGATAATTGAACATTTAGTCTTTTTTTTTTGTATCAGGAATTGAATCTAGGGACACTTAACCACTGAGAGACATCCTCAGCCTTTTTAAAAAAAATATTTATTTTTTAGTAATAGGTGAACACAATGTCTATTTTACCTTATGTGGTGCTGAGGATCAAACCCAGTGCCTCACATATACTAGGCGAGCTCTCTACCTCTGAGCCACAACCCCAGCCCACCTCAGCCCTTTTTTATATTTGATTTTTAGATAGGGTTTTGCTAAGTTGCTGAGGCTGGCTTTGAACTCACGATTCTTCTGCCTCAGCCTCCTGAGCCTCTGGGATTACAGGCATGTGCCACCATGCCCAGCAAACATTTAGTCTTTTTTTAAAAATATTTATTTTTTAGTTTTAGGTGGACACAATATCTCTATTTTACATTTATGTGGTGCTGAGGATCAAACCCAGTGCCCCATGCATCGTAGGCGAGTGCTCTAGCACTGAGCCACAATCCCAGTCCCAAATATTTAGTCTTTAAACATCAAATTTAAAATTGTTTTAAAGACAGTATATCTTACTTTTCTGCTATGTGGTCTGTCAGTGAGGAATCCCATATATGTGGGCACTTTTTCTAGTAGAATCCTTTAATGCTCCCAGTAAACTTAAATCTAAATCAGTTAGAAGGAAATATTCTTATCCATTTTTAGATAAAATTTAAAGATGACTTGTAGCATTTTATAAATGAGGAATTCTTATCCAATAAAACTTGTATGAAACACTGCTGAAAATCTATAAGCCAAAGTTTTGTGCTACCTGTTCTCTCCCACAACAGCTCCTGCAGTTTCTCCTTCAGACATATCCCATTCCTATATGTCACATCATTTAAAACTTTATTTTTGTAATTTTCCACTCTGGTTTCTTATGGTTTACCCACTACATTAAGTTACTCAAAAACTACTGCAAAGTAATACAGTTTGGTTTGGGTTTTTTTTGGGGGGGGGGGCATTGATTTTTTGTACCAAGGACTGAACCCAGGGGTGCTGAACCACTGAGTCACATCCAAGACCTTTAAAAATACACACACACACACACACACACACACACATATATATGTATTTTTATGTATTTTTAGTTGTAGTTGGGCACAATACCTTTATTTTATTTATTTTTATGTGGTGCTAAGGATCAAACCTAGCACTTGCACATGCTAGGAGAGAGCTCTACCACTGAGCCAAAACCCCAGCCCCCCAAGACCTTTTTATGTTTTATTTTGAGATTGGGTCTCACTAAGTTGCGTAGGACCTTGATAAATTGCTGAGTCTGGCTTTGAACTCACGATCCTCCTGCCTCAGCCTCCTGAGCCACTGGGATTGTAAGCATGCATCATCATGACCAGCATTTGTTATTTTAAGTGATGCCTAAAATATTTATTTATTTATATCAGTTTTATTTATTTATATCATAATTATTGAAATAAATACTTATTAAACTTGACTTAAGTGAAAAAAAAACTATGTTTTAGTATTTGAAATTTATAGCATCATATGTTTTGGCTTTCCTTCTCATATTATTCCTATGGTGTCTTTTTTAGTCTTCTTTAATTCTTTTTCCTTCATATTATCAATGATTCTTTTTATCTTTCTGTTAAAATGAAAATTTCTTATTTACTTAACAGTCTATTTCATTAACTCCCATGGGAGACGTTAGAACAAGTTTCAAACACCCAGAGTCATAAGTATACCCAGGACTTAAGATATTAGGGCAAAAATAAATAAATATGTTTCTATGACATAATAGCTTTTTCACTATGCCTGAAAACAATTTAAAATGCTTGCTAAAGTATGGTAAAAATTACTAAGTAGGGGAGGCAATGTTTTTCTGGTCAATTACTCAAAAATTTATTTAAAAATCTTATAAATAGTGTATCTTAATATAAATCTTATAACATGTGAAAGGAAAGTAGAAAACAGGTATTCATCAGATTGATCAGACAAAAGAAAACCACATAGATAAACTACTTTTACAGAGGAAGATTTTTTAAATCTAAATTATATACTATTCATATTAAATTGATCAGATAAATCTTCAACTCTCTATGTCCCTCTGATAAATACAATATATTTTTTCCTGCATGGAGATACATTTTATAATTTGTGAGAATTTTACACTGAACTCTTTCTTCATTCATCAAAAACCCTGATCTTTAGACAGTTTCTTTCATTTACAAAGCTCCATCTGCTGGTTCATTTGGAGAAGTGCAATAATCATTGGAACAGTAAGTCACTGAAGTGAGGGCCATTTTAGCAATTTCTTTACCTTTTGGTTATTTTAGAAACATAGATACTAGGGTGTACAAAATGGAATTTTATCCTAAAATCTATAACCATATAATTTAATAGAATCATCTTCAAGAAATAATCTCACAAATATGATGTTGAAATACCAGCCACAGTAGTGATAAGTGATATTTCTCTATATAATCTTTATTAGTTTTATTTGTCACTTCTTTTCCCATCATAGGGAGCTTCTATTCTTAGAATGCTTGAAGACTGGATAACACCAGATAAATTTCAAAGAGGATGTCAGGTATGATTTATTACTTTAAGTGGTATTGAAAGTAAGCTACACTGATCTGTGACTGATGAATGTTAAGAAATGTTGCTCATTAATGATAATTCATTTTTCATTTTCCTTACTCAGGGATAGACAGTATGGCAAAAAATAAAAGGTTATTTTACATCCAGTTAAATGCCTATATTGTATCTAAATTATCAAGTTCCAGAAGTTTCATGGAGAAGTTTAAACAGCTTAGTTATCTTTGATACACTTTACATGTGCTCTAGCCAGCTCTGGCTTCCATAGCAAATTAGTCTTGATGGCTCAAACAAAAGAAATTTATTTTCTCTCAGTATTGGAGAATGAAAGTCCAAGAATCAGATGCTGGCCAATTTAATTCTGGTGAGGGTCCTCTTCCTGTCTTGCAGATGGTCACCTTCTTGCAGTGGCCTTACATGACAAAGAAGAAGCACTGTGGTGTCTTTTGTAAGAACAATAATATCATCAATAGGGTCTCACCCTCAGTACCTCATCTAAATATGAATACCTTACAAAGGCCCTGCTTCTAAATACCATCACATTGAGAATTGGGTTCAGCATACGAATTTCAGGGGAACACAGTCATTCAATAGTAATATGATATGAAAATTTAAATCTATCTGTAAGGGTCTTCCCTTTACAGTGAGTATAAGACTTTTTCCTTATGATTGGATTGGAAAGTAATTAATTAAAATATCTTTTTTTTAAAGAAAGAGAGAGAGAAAATTTTTTAAATATTTATTTATTTATTAGTTTTCAGTGGACACAACATCTTTATTTTTATGTGGTGCTGAGGATCTAACCCAGCGCCCTGTGTATGCCAGGCAAGCGCGTTACTGATTGAGCTACATCCCCAGCCCAAAATATCATTTTTTATGATGGAATCAATAAATAAAGAAGACCAGCTTCCTTTCAGAAAGGGAAATTTTAAAATTTTTTCTAAATTTAAATTTTTCACACATCCCACTTAAGCATATTTTCCAGTGGATGATCTGGTTTCAGTTTTGTTTTTCTTGCAGACCTTTATCCAATTGTCTCAGGGTTGGTGTTTTATAATATGTATTATTAAAGTCATTATAATGTGTCCCCATAATTGCCCTATCTACAGATTGGTCCCCTCCCAGCCTAGAAAAGGAAAACTGTTCCTACCTCTTCCTTCTCCAAACTCCCTACTGTGATAACCCAGGTAGTTACAGGGAACAGTGTGGACATCCAACCCATAAAGCAGAAATAGAAGACAGGTTGGAGCAGAGCATCCACTAACTCTCACATGGAGGACCAGTTCCTTTTGGGGATGTGATTCCCCAGGACAATTCCTAAAGCTCTCACTATGGCCATCTCTTCTCACATGGAACTTAACCCTATGATACTCAAAAGGAAGCAAGCCCCTCCAGACCAATATTAAGATTCTCAAGTGACTATTAAAGTAACAAATAAGACTAAGATTTAGGAAATATTTAGGGAGTGCACTACTGTATTTTTTTAGTAGTTTTGTTCATTAATAAAATATTCTGTGTGGACGTGAGATGCAAAGGGAGAAGCTGTACGTGTGAGCTTACATGCACATGAGAACATCTTGTAACTTTTCCATCAAACTCAATTTTTTTTAACCTGGGGGTGGGGGGCTTTTAATCACTGAGCCATATCCCTGGGCCTTTTTATTTTTTAATTATGTGACAGGGTCTTGCTAAGTTGTTTAGGGCCTCACTAAATTGCTGAGGCTGGCTTTGAACTTGCGATTCTCCTGCCTCAGCCTCCTGAACTGCTGGGATTACAGGTGTGCACCACCACACCTGGCTCAGACTCAAATTTCATCTCATCTTCCTTCATTGTGAGCACCCTATGGAGGAACTCTCTCTTCAACATCTTTGCATATTCTCCAATGCCTAGTAGAAAATGTTACACATACTAGGTGATCCAGAAGATGTTTGTTGAATGAATGAGTGAATAGTCTATAATAAATAACATTGTAGAGCACAGAAATAAAAAAGAAATTTCATTTTCAAAAATGGTGTTAAAATTCCATTTGCAGAGCTTTCATTCTAAATCATTTTCATTTAAAATTTAAAATTTCATTCTAAATTTTCACTAATAAACCACACATTTTTTCACTAATAAATCACACATTCACACATCTTCAGATCTGACTTCAAAGACTGACTTTAGAGCTGATCTTTCTTATTCACTTATTTAGAGAAGGGCCAAAAAAAAGTCCTTAAAAACAAATAGCTAAACTAATAATTCAATAATACACATTTCCTTTAACCTAATATCTATTATCATTAATTTAAAAAGTTGTCCCAAACTAACATTTCTCAAGTTAAAATCTTCCTTTAACTTAACTATGATCACATGTAGTGCTAAAACCTAACTGGCATGAATAGATATTAATTTTTCATACCATTATAGTGCTATGAAATGAATTTATAAAAAGAACCACTAAAATATTTATCTTTTTCTCTCAAATACTAGCTAATATCTAAAAATAGCATATGATCAATATATTCCACATTCAGTAAGCTCTCACACCAGCTGGGACATTCTTTCACATAGTTCAGGCACCTGAAAAATAGACTCCTTGAATTGCAATCACCACACTATGATTGTTGCCCGGAAGTCCCACAGTCTGTCAGACTGGAGTTACTGCTCTTTTCCTTACAGATACTGATTCTCTGTCAGAAGTGGCTGCATTAGTTAACCTGGTGGTGATGAATCTGGGAATGGCAGATATCTGTTCTCTTTCAAGCTTATCATGCCCCCCAAATCCAACCTCAGGAAACAAAATATTTAGATGGTGTGGGGAATAAAAGCAAAGTCATTCATTATTTTTGATAGATAAATCATTAAAATTTGTCTATTAAAAATAATAGATCATGGGTCATTAGTAACAATATGTGGTTATGGAAAAAAAAAAAGAAAGATACTATGTCCTTTATTTTTCTTGTAGTATTAATAGTATCCCTGGTAAGACAGGAATGCTGAGCTGGAAAATGTGCTCATGTGCTTTTCCTTCTGGGAATACTAGCAATAGAAACACTGTTCCTTTCCTTCTGTGCTCACGAATGTCATCTTATGAGGGACTGTGACCTAGGTTGTTGCATAACTTTAGCTGGAATGACTACATTGTGAATATTTGTGGTGAAGAAGGAAAGTTCTTCAACCAGAATATTCAAAAGTGGTCATCAAAACAAAATAAAAATTAATACCTTTTCATATAGTGTTATATAAATTTCTATTCAGCCTCTAGTTCCAGAGAAGCAATAAATTGCAATTAAAAAAATAACAACCACCATGATGAAATCCACACATGCTGATCCATGATTCAGAATTCTCTTCATAGTAATCTTAGGCAAATCTCTTCACCTTTTTAGGCACTCAGGTAGTTAAACAGAGTGGTTTTCTTCATCTAAAAAATGTGGGCAATGTACTAAGTAATATTTAAAGTCCCTTCTAGATCCAAGATTTCCTGTTTCTAAGCTCAAGACCTTGTGAGTATACAAATAAAACCTAAATTAATTTTAAAAAGATACTCGTCAATATAAATTGTCATTAACACATAGACATACCAAATAGTATTATACCAAATATTCAATTTTTTTTTTTAAGATATAATGAATGATTAGTGCAATACTCTGGAATCAATACCTAAAAATGATAGTTTCTTCTCTCTTCCTTTGCCTGCCCTCTGGTGGTAGTGCTGAGAAGTGAATTAATCAAAAGAATTTAAATGGAGTCAATGTTCCAAATGGGCCTTAGTGCTCCCCCAGGCTTCCTGGGGTCCTACTAATCTTGTTTAATTTCTCTGTCCTTGGATTGAAGAGGAGTTTAGAAGATAATGTGACTTAGGTACAGCACCTACTGAAAATTTACAGCAACTTAAGAGGGAAAATGATATGCACCAAGTTAACCATGAAGAACATCTAAGGAGCCAGAGATTCTGTGGCACCCACCTGTAATCCCAGAGACTCAGGAAGCGGAGGCAAGAGGATCCTGAATTTGAGGCCATTCTAGGCAACTTAGAGAGACCCTGTTTCAAAATAAAAAATAAAAAGGGCTGAGGATGTGGTTCAGTGATAGAGCACCCTGGGTTCAATCCCAGCTTTGGAAAAAAAAAATTTTTTAAAGAAGTTTCTATTTATATCTAAGATTTCTTCATTTTAGGGTTTTTTTTGGGGGGGAGGGAGTGGTATTGGGGATTAAACCCAGTGTGCTTAACCACTGAGTCATATTCCCAACCCTTCCTTTCTTCCATTCTTTCTTTTTCTTTATTTGAAACAGGGTCTCACTAAATTGCTCAGGATTTTAGTAAATTGTAAGGCTGTCCTCAAACTTGTGATCCTCCTGCCTTGGCCTTCCAAGTCTCTGGGAGTACAAGCATGCAACTACCATGTCAGGCTTAGACATCTGCATTTTAAATGGGAAATAATTCAAGAAAGTAAAGGAGTGATGCAGCAGGACAGAAGAAACTTCAGAAAGTTTCCTGCAGAACCTCAAGCAGTGTCCAGATATGGATGAGAAGACTGGGAATTTTCTTTGGGGCTCTATCACATTAGATCTGAAAATTCATATACAGAAAAGGTTTTGTGAACAGAACAGCCCAAAGAGGGAACCTTCTATTTAAAGATTCATATTTTGTTAATATTTGAAGAATAAAGATTTATTCTTTAAATTTAATAATTTCCTCACTCCATCCATCATCATTATTATTGTTATTGTTAAAAAGACTATACATTTATTTCCTTAGAGCAGAGGTCAGCAAACTACTGTTCAAATCCAGCCTACCACCCAACTTTGTAAGTTTTGTGAAGTAAAAAGGCTTTCTACATTTGAGAATGGTTAAAAAAATCAAAATAGAATATTTCATAACATGAAAATTACATAGAATTCAAATATAAGTGTGCATATATGTGTTTTTTGGAGAACAGCTATGCTCATTCATTTATACATGGCCTGTGGTTGCTTTTGTTATAGAGGCAGAATTGAGCAGTTGTGAGGAGGGCTTCAAATCATGTTATAGAATCTCGAAAAGGCAGCACTGACTTCCAAAGTACTTGTTATCTTTTACATACAGATTTACTTGGAAAGATTCCAATTCAGGAATGCAAAGACTTCAGATTTTTGGGAAGCACTGGAAGAGGTAAGGAGGAGTACACCCCTAAGTATTTCTTGTTCTGACTTACAGAAGATTTACTAATCATTTCTTTACCTGACTGTTCTATTTTTTATCTTCCCTTGTTTGTAAATTAATTAATCTCTCTCTATTTTTTTTTTATCTTAGGCAAGTGAGAAGCCGGTGAGAGAAGTAATGGACACCTGGACTAGACAGATGGGTTATCCTGTGCTAAATGTGAATAAAACAAGCGTCACACAGAAGCGTTTTCTGTTGGACTCAAGAGCTGATCCTTCCCAGCCACCTTCAGATTTTGGGTAATTCATTTCAGAAAAAAAGTAGAAATTTGGCAGAAATACTCGTCATTTACTTAGATACTGCTCTCCAGTACATGTTCAATGTGTTCAAATAGCCAGGTGGTCTCCAGGTTCAAAATGGTAGACTGAGCACATGTTGCTCTTCCCAAGGTATGAGTGAATGGAGGAATGAATATACTTAAAATCAATAAACCCTTAAGAGTAAGGAAAATAAATGGGTGGGACTACATTCATCATAGAATTTTGTGAAATAAAAGCAGAAGGAGAAATACTGACAGAAAACCAACTGAGGAAAATGCAGCTAGATGATAGTAAAGGGACCTCCCTGTCCCTAGTCAGGGTCTGGGCTCAGTGTCAGCATGAAGAATGCACAGCAGGAGTGAGAAGCCAAGCTGAAAGTAGTACAATTTTTATGACGTCTAGAAGTAGGACCTGTGCCGCTCCACTTTCTCCATCCACTACTAGTCTTTTCTCTATAAGGAACTCTAAGAAATCTGGTTGTGACCCCAGGGCAAGAATGCAGAGGGCTGTTTACTAAAGAAGTAAACCAAAACAGTGGAGGAGAGCTAAGCATTTCCATTTCATTAGGACTCCCAGACTATAGCATTGATTCATAAGTGTAATTTATTGGCTTTCAACTTTTATAATCAACCAATGGATAACATGTAACGGTGTTGTTATGGTGGCAGAATACATTGGAAATATAACCTATCTTATCATTATAATGAGAAAAAATACCTGACAGAAGAGAGGAGGTGGAAAAGGGAGAAAAAGTGAAAGAGAGTATGGGGTATTTACTCAGTAGTGGCAGGTCTCTTCCCAGATTGGTGACGTCATGTTGTCCATGATGCTGTTCTGGTAGCTCAACCCTGGAAACAGTGGGAGCATCATGTGAAAAAGGGCAAATACTCTTTTGTCCTCTGAGAGCTGATTGTTAAGCAAGAGCACTTCAGGGGCTGTCCTCGCTTAACAGTTAGGAAAGTGGTAAAAACAAAAACTTCACAAAGCAAGAGTGGTGGAGTGAGTATATTATTTAGCGGTACATTGTAACCTATAGAAAACTAAAAACCATTTTATTTTATTTTACTTTTTTTGTTAAGTTTTAAAAAGAGAATGGAAAAGAAAGTAATATAAGTGCACCAAGTCACCCTCCAGTGGATGAGTTAATACATATTGTTTAAACAAAAATAAATAAATAAAGTTAGGATGCAGAACTAAAACCAGAAGCACTTAAAAGGAGAGATGCTAGGGGCTGGTGTGGTGGCTCAGAGGAAAAGCACTCGCCTAGCATGCGTGGGGCACTGAGTTTGATCCTCGCACCACATAAAAATTAAATAAAGATATTGTGTCCACCTACAACTAAAGAATAAATATTTTTAAAAATAAAAATAAAAAAGGAGACCCTGAGTAAGGTGCAGGCCTGGGTGGGGAGGATGGAAAGCAAACTGTGGTTATTCAACAGTTTCCTAGTTTGTGATTAATAATGAGTTTATGTACAAATTTCACAAATCAAATTCTCTGAGCATTTAAGCAGCATTTAGAAACTTAATCAAATTCTCTTGCGTATAGCATGTGTAAAAACTTAGAATCAAATTCTTCTAAACACTACCAGTTACAGTTTCATTAAATTATTTTCTAATTTCCAAATACAAACACCTAAAGGTTTATAAATCTTTTTTGAAATTATTTGATATATTTTTAGAAATTAACAATTTAAAATACAAATACAGTTTATCAAATTAGAGTGACATTTCTTCATCATGTTAAAAATCAAACCCTCAACTTTACCAAGCAAGATTTTTCTAGACAATTGAAACATGGATACTGAGTTCAGGATTTCTAAGTATTTTAATTAATATTACAAATCCAATGTGTTGTTTTCTCTGATGTGCTAGGTTTTTAAAAATGTTCCAAAGAGTGTAAAAGTTGATAGAGCATGTACCTCACAGCCAGTGATCTCAAAACTCATTCCATTTGCACAAGTTCAACTTGTAAAGTCTTGATGATATGAGCATTTCTGCATAACTTATTTTGTATACATTTCTGGGGTGCCAAGCACCCCTCCAAATGAAAGGTAAAAATCAGACTCTCAGGACACCCAAACTGTATACAATATTTTGGGGATATCATCCTGGCCAGCTCAACATGCTGAGTCCCTCCTAGGTAGGTTACTAGGTGAACAGGAGCTGCATAGCCTATCACTGGTCCCTGGACATTGTTCCGGTTTCATCTAGTTCCAATTTTTATTGTCCCTTCTTGCAACTTTGAAATATTTGCTTGGGGTAAAGAGGATTTGAATTCATGCTCACCCAGGTGGCCTGCAATCTCCATTGCCTGATTCTCACTGAAGAGAATCGTCCTCCTGCTCTCTTTCTTAATGATTTCATTGGCATTATTTTATAATTCCTGTATAAGTCATTTGGTGAGCTCAATTAGTTAGTAGCAATTAGAATAACATGAAGAATGAGAATCTTAAGCTATGAAGAAAGTATTTTGGAAAGTGTTTAATAACTATGAACCAGTTCCTTCATAGTTACTATTTTATGTTCTAGCAAATTACATTCACTAAATTTATAATAGTGTTGGAGCTGTTTGATATTAAAATTTAAAAATATTTCTCTCTTGTGAAACAAGATTTCTTTGGGAAAGTTTCTTGGTAATTATTCTCTCTTGTCGTACATGCCCACTGATTGGCTGAGCCTGAATTAATTGGGAGAGAGGGATGGAGATGGCCAGGGTGGGGTCACAGAAAACATCTTTTTACCAGGATGAAATATTGAAGGTGAGCAAATTGGTGCAAAGGGAGTAAAATAAACTATAATATGGAGGAAGTCCTCAAAGGTTTTGAAAGGAGCTTTGTGAATATAATGTGTAACATTTACTAAGCCTTGACTAAGTAGCCAGCACTATTTTAAGCACTTTAGATGTGTTTGATGAGAACAGTTGAGGACAATGAAGCAGAGAGAGAGATTAACTTATTCAAGGTTATACACACGCGCAGTAAATGATAGCGCCTTGATCGGAACAGAAGGCAGTCTGGCTCCAAGAGACTGGAAGCACAGCAACTGGAAAAGTGGTGGGAGACGAAGGTGGGGAGAAAGGCAGGGACAGGTATGCAGGCCACATGAAAGATTTTGGACAACAGTGTGAAGATTCAAGGATTTTAAGGAGACAATTGGCAAGATTTGCATTTTTCCAAGTTCCTCTCTCGAATTATGGGGACATGAGTAGAATCAGGGAGACCAAATAAGATGACATTGCAGTGAATGACTCATGTGACAACTGGGATTGATGAGCCCAGACCCTATAGGAGGGTGGCTGTGGCTGAAAGTTGTAGCAGATATTCCAAAGATTTCAGTTCAACATTTTCAATTAAAAAATAAACAACAGCCGGATTCAGTGGTGCACACCTATAATTTCCAACTGAGGCAGGAGGATCACAAGTGTGCAAGAGAGACCCCGTCCCAAAATTAAAAAAAAAAAATTAAAAGGACTGAGGGTGTCCTTCAGTGGTGAGCGCTCCTGAGTTCAATCCCTAGTACTACAGTAAATAAACAAATAATATGCAAGTGACTTAATCAGATGAATTTGCAGAGAACAACTTCTTTTTAGACTATTGTGCTCATCCTGTAGGACAATGGTCATAGCCACATTTCTACAGAACTGAATGATCTTTATAGACACATTTTACGATCCATATACCACAACCTGTTTTCTGTTTTTAATTTGGGACTTTGAGAATTGTCACACTAACAGCACACTCGGGTATTTAAAAAAATTAAAATTGCCAAAAATTGTCCAAGGTATGAGAGAATGGAGAGCACTCAGAATTATGAAATTAACTATTTCTAAGGTACTGGCTGGAAAAGCCTGAGGCACTCACCTGGTAGGCCATTATCAATCTGTGCGGGAACCTCAGGAGCTCAGCTCTGTCACAGACAACGTGGTTCCAAGAAGCTGGGTGTCTTACTGTAACACAAATTCTGAAAATCAATAGTTCACACCAGCACAAGGAAAATACCAGACCCTACACCAATATGAAGACGCTGAGGGAGTGTATGTGTACACTTCTTTACTTTTTATTTCAAAAGGGAAAGATTAAAATTGAGAAAACCTCTTTATTTTTCACTCTTTCCTCTTCATGATACATGATTGAAATGTAGATTTGACTTAGTTTCAGGTGATAATTCAATGACAAAAGTCAACAAAACAGTGTCTGTGATGGTTCTGTAAACTATGAACTATTTCTTTTGTAGTTACTGTTTTATATTCTAGTAAATTAGATTAGTCATATTAAATACTTCTACAGTCTTTGGATATTTGGGAAAAAAAAAAGAAAGAAAGAAAAACTTGTTGGGCTGGAGATGAAACTCAGTGGTAGAGCATTTGCCTAACATGGGTGAGGCCCTGGGTTCGATCCCTTGCACTGGAAAAAAACCAAAAAACAAAACATTCTCTCTTGCAAAATAAGTTCCATTGTGAAAGTTCCTCAATAATTGTTTCCTCCTGTCACGTGTCCACTGACTTGTTAAACTAAAGACAGTCAACCAGTGTTGATTGGATTTTAACTACTCTTTGGCTATAAATTCCTCTTCACAAAAACAAAACAAAACAAAAAAATTATTACCAAGTGAGCTAAATATATCAGGAATAAAATCACTTTTTACAATAAATTACAATATATCCTTGAATTTTATTCATGAAACTTAAGAGTATGAAACTATGTTAACCCATTTTTCTCTAATATTTGTCTTGAATTCCTACTCTCAGATACTATTTTTATTTCATTTGGATTCATAGAAGCATGATTTTTGGTGACTATTTATCAAAAATCAACATACTTGTCCCAGTTTTGTAAAACAAAAGCAAGGGGATGTTATACATGAATAGGAAAAGAAACTTAGAAAATAGGTTTTTCCCTGTTGAGAATATTTGTTAAAAATCATCAGTAGCTCCTGAGAAATAAGAAAGAATACTGTTTTTTCACTTTATTTATTTATTTTTTTAAATCAAATCATGTACCCAGAAAGAAATGGTACCTTTCTCCAACCCCAAGGTTCATCTTCTCTCTGGTCAGATGTGTTCCTGTTGGGTGATCTGTGAGATGAATGGCCTCTTCTAAGTATGCTTCTCACTATTTAAGTAATCCAGAATGAGGAAAGTTTTTACTGAACAGAACCTTTTATAATTCAAAGGGTCCACCCATGTGTAGGCTTTTGCTTTAACATTATGGCGGCAACCTTCTCTTACAAATGGGCCACTTACCACGTCTCCAGCAGGCAAGTTTTCTTTCTTTCTTTTTTTTTTTTTTATACCTTTATTTTGTTTATTTAGTTTTATACGGTGCTAGGGATGGAACCCAGGGCCTCACACATGCCAGGCAAGCGCTCTATCCCTGAGCTACAACCCCAGCCCTGACAAGTTTTCTTGCCTTGAAAGTCCATCCATTGTAAACAGGCAGAAGAAGGGTGTGTCTTTCGGGGGGCAATTAAAGTCAGTTTCCTTGGAGAAAACTAGATTGGCCACTTTTAGTATTGATGGAGCCCATTTCATGGTACCTTAATCACACACTTAAAAAACAAATCTTGATACTCATAAATTTTAGATGATATAATTTTCATTTCTTGACATTTTGTATTCCCAAATCTCTTATTTTATTCAGTTTAGATTAGGTTAGATTGTGTGATACTAAAAATTACCAAATTGTATTCATTTTTGTCTTAGGATAATCTTAAAATCCTCAGGGCAATATTTTTTTTTTATTTTTTAGTTGTAGTTGGACACAATACCTTTATTTTATTTGTTTATTTGTATGTGGTGCTGAAGATCAAGCCCAGCGCCTCGCATGTACTAGGCGAGTGCATTACACTGAGCCACAACCCCAGCCCAGGGAAATATTTTTATACGTGACCTTGGTAGTATAGCTTCTGTCCAGTTTTAGGCATGGTGTAGTCCTACTGACCATGTTTTAGGGTGATAGCCAAGATGTGAAGTCACATTGTGCACATCCCAACACAGCATCCTCTGTTACTTCCGTTACGTTTGGCACTGGAGAAAGATGAAGAAATATTTGTTTGCGTGGCAGCATCAAATTAACAGAGCAGCGACAGAGCAAAATATGTAGGATGTGGTTATTTAACAATGCCTGTCTTCTGAGAGGCTGCAAGGGCTCTTAGGATGGCTTCCATAAAAGCAAACCCTGAGATGATCATGTGAGTGAAAGTGACTCCTTAGGAAGTGTCTCTAGGAAGGATGGTCACAGTGGGCATGGGACAGGGAAGGGAGAGGAAGGGAAGGCAGTCCAGCAGAGGTGCTGTATGAAGTAGTCCTGTGGAGAGTAACTGGCTCAGTCCTGCAGAGAATTTCTGGAACCTGTGCAGAACATTTCAGAGTGTTCCAGCGTGTTCCTGATGGATGGGGTAAGAAAGGTTCTCAACTTTCAACCCATACCAATCAGTCATTGTTAACTAAGGGTGGCTCCAGAAGAATGCAAATTCCCAGGAATTTCTGTTTTTCCTGCTGAGGCAGTTTGAGGACAGTCCTCTAACAGAGAGACTTAGGTTTTGGTTGCTTCCAGAGAAAGCACTTTGGAATCTGGGTTTCTAGGGGATAAGCATCAAGCTGTGTCCACAATAGGACCCCAGAAATAATTTATGTACTGGTTTTATGAAACTTATAGCCAAAAATTCCACTGCAATAAAATACTCCAAAGGACCCAGTAAAAAGTCCTTTAAAACACTTAAATAACATAAAGCAGAGGATTATTTTTTTCACATAGATAGCAAAAATCTATTCTTGAATGACAAATTTTATTATATCCTAAATGGGAGAAATGTCAATCCTAATTCTCTTTAAGGAATTGAATGTTGACAGAGAAACCAACTTTGAGTAGCAATTCAAACCAGCTATTGGTACCTAGATTCATATTCTCTCTAGATACATGAGATGATGCATTTGTGATTGAGAGGAGAACAATCAAATGGCATTGATGATCTGTTTTTTGATATTTCAAGACTAAAATATTGGGAATATATTATATCCAAATACAAGCTACCTCTGCATACCAAGTAGCTAAGGAAAACAATTGGAAACCCCTGAAACATCTGATAATTTTTCCCTTTAGAGCACATGTATTCTCATGATTCTAGCTAAGAGATACTTAGAAAAGAGCATGAAACTTTGAAGGGGGGGCGGGTTATGGTGGTGGTACAATTTCAATCTAACTTCTAAAATGTATTTCTTTAACAGAATTTTACAGACTGCCTTTTGAATTTTAACAATGTTTTGTGCTCCTTAACAGAAGCCATCAAATATAAAGTGTACATAATCATGTATTCAGATGCTCAATATTATATGTTATATTTCTGCAATTTCTTTATTTCAAAGCCTCAAAGCACTTCATTGAATAATAATCTTCATTCTTGGATAATTTTTTGATGCAAATTTCCACAGTTCATAAATTTATAGAAATTGAGAGCAGTTACCTGACCTATTTTTATTACTAAAGTATGATTTATTAACTGTATTGGTTGCATACTATACATTGGATGATCATATAAGGAAAACATGTTTGTCTTGATTTTTATTTTTGATTTTTTATCGTTTAGTAATAAAGTTAAATTTTTCTCTTTTAAAAATTTTAGTTACACATGGAATATTCCAATTAAATTGACTGAAAATGATGTACCACTCAGTGCCTTCTACAATAGGTCAGAAAAAGAAGGTAAATATTATCAATTGATTGATTTATTCTTTGAATTGGTGTTCTACATTAAATTAAGTGTGAAGAGTTACCCATAAGCTGAAAATCAAATAAATTTTAGCTTAAAGAAACCTCTTAAATAATTTATTGATGATTATAAATCTTTATCTGCAATAATGACTTTTCTACTTTGAGATTTTTTTTTTAATCATTTACCATGATTGACATACCTAGCCTTGGGAGATCAAAGTATAAGTTTGCTTCCTTCCCTTCATCTTTCCCTCTCTCTCTCTTCCTTTCTTCCATTTTTATCTTTTTATCAAACAAGTAAGTCATTGAATTTCTTAAAATGTTATGTGGCAGGCTTGGTTTTTTTTTTTAATATTCTCATTAAATTAGACCAATCATTTTCTGAAAATTTGTCTCTTACTCTCTCCATTGATTTGTCTTTTTCTTACTTGAAAAATTCTAAAGTTATATAGAAACAAGGAGACATTATCATAGACCTCCATGTCACCAAAAAAAAAATAATAAATAAGACAGGTTTTAGCACTAATCCCAGAAGAATCTTGCTTTTAATACTTTTACCGATGTACTTGTTTTATGTCTAAAAACTTGTCTTTTATTTTTATTTTGCAGTCCTGGGGTTTGAACTCTGGGCCTCTTGCATGCTAGGCAAGTGCCCTTCACTAAACTATATCCCCAGCCCTTTTTATTTATTATTTTGAGACAGGGCTGTCACTAAATTCCTGAGGCTGGCCTTGAACGTCTGATTCTCCTGTCTTAGCCTCCAGAGTCTCTGGATTTACAGGCATGTGTCACTGCACTCAACTCAAAACATTTCTTATGTAAGACAAACTAGACTGTGTCCTTTGCTCCATTCCATCAGGACTTGGTCTCAGGAGAGCACTGGGCATACACTTTCACCCGTGGCTTCTTAAGGCCAAGCAGATCACTTGTCTGTGGTTATGGTTTGGATATAAGTTGTTCCCCAAATGCTCATGTGTGAAACAACGCAGGAAGGTTCAGAGGAGAAATGATTGAGTTGAAGTCTCAACCCAATCAGTGACTTAATCCCCCTGAGTGGGATTAACTAAGTGGTAACTGAAGTGGTAGGGTGTGGCTGGAGGAGGTGGGAATTAGGGCGTGGCTTTGGGGTATATATTTGTATCTGGAGAGTGGAAGTCTCTCTATTTTCTGTTTGTCATGTTAGCTGCTTCCCTCTACTATACTCTTCCGCCATGATGTTGGGCCTCATTTAGAGCCCCCAGGAATAGAATTGGCCTTCTGTGGACCATGAGCCCTCAAATAAACTTTTCCTCCTTTAAAATTGCTCTGGTCAGATCCTTTAGTCACAGCAGTGAAAAAGCTGCATATGCCTATAACATCCCAAAATGTTAATTATGTCTGAGTTCATCTGGCAAGTAAATTTTATTCTTTATTCCAGTTGATTTTTAAAATCAGCTTTATTGAGATATAAGTTGCATACCTTTAAATTTACCCATTATTTTCTTATTTTACAGTGCTGGAGATTGAACTCATGACCTTACACATGCACAGCACACACTCTATCACTAAGCTCCATCCCACTCCACAGTTCATCCATTTAAAGAGTAAAATCCAATTTTTTTTTTTTTTGTATATTCACAGTCATATCAGCACAGGCAATTTAGAGCATTTTTATTACCTCAGAAAGAAACCCTTACCTTTATCTATCATCTCTCCATCCTCCCATGCCTCAGCCCAAATTGAACACTAATCAACTTTCTACATCTATAGATTTACCTCTTCTGTACATTTAATGTAAATGAAATTACATATATATAATTTATATATAAATAGCATTTTTAATCTTTTTCCATTTAGCTTAATGTTTCTATGGTTCTTCCTAGTTGTAGCATGTATCAGCATTTCATTCATTTTTATTGCCAAATTATATTCCATTATATGGATATGTGACCTTTCTTTATACATTTATCAACTGACAGATATTTGAATCATTTGTACCTTCATCTCATGTCAGTAGTGCTGCTATAATCATTTATGTATAAGTTTCTCTGTAACTTCCCTAGGTTTTTTCCCACTTTTTTTTTTTTTAAACTTGTATTATAAAATCTTTTGTGATTTTTAGATTTACTATAAACTCTACCAGCTTTGCTATTATGGAAGTAAGACTCTTCTTTAGGCTCTTCTTGACAGGAATTGCTATCACAATGAAACTTTCCCTTTATCATTTATGGTAACAATTATTATAGCATTGTGGTCAATATTCTCAATTTCCAAATCAATACCATTCTGTCTCAGTATTTGTATTCATTTAGGTTGTGATTGAATACTAAGCTGTATCTCTTGTGGTCTGTCTTCCGACCATTTTCAGATTCGTAAGCACATTTACCAAAGGAAAATGGAAAAGACAGAAAGAACACACTAAAGAATATGTAACAGCCCTGGTAAAAGACATAAGAGAAGGTTAGGATTTCATTGAGAGGTTTAACTTTTTACCACATTTTCCCCCCAGTGGTCACCATGTTTAATGAAGGTTGGAAGAATGTCTTGGAAGCAGCTTCATTTGCTGTTTACGAATTTAAAAGCATGAATAATTCATCTATCCTTACAGTTTACCCAGCATTTTCATGGACTTAGGATCCCATAGCAGTGAATTTTCAAGATAACTAAAGCTCACTCTAATACTTCATAAGTAAATTTTAAGAGTTCAGAATAAACAACCTTCTAATATTTATTGTGTACTCATTAGATAGATTTGGAATGTTGAATTTGATCCCTTAATTAATCAGTTATTTCTTTCAAGCCAGTATTTATTAAAGCTAACTTACATACCAGATACAGGGGTAGGCCTGGAGATAATGTGAGAGTAGGGGAGAAGCATGACCCCTTACCCTTGTGTGGACAGTTGTCCAGGGCTAGGTCAGCAGGTAGATACAATACTGTCCTAAGTGGCTGGTGTGGTAACTGAAAATAGTGAAGGGAACACACAGGACAAGCACCAGCCCAGATGTGGGGGATCAGGGAAGATTACTAAAGAAAAGGATTTCTAGGCCAAGAGTTCAGGGGCTACTGATAGAGTATAAATGGATGACAGGATTGATGGAGTCTTTGGGGTCCCTGTACTCTGAACAGGGAGTGTTAGCATAGAAAAGAGAGAGGGAGCTCTCAAACCCCTTTCTATCCTTGAAGTATTATGTTTAACACATTTTTTTTTTTCTGTAACTATTGACTTATCTTTGTCTCTCCTCCCACGGAGTATTCCTTGAGGAAAAGAAACTTATCCCTTATCCGTTGCTGTTGTTGCTGTTCCTGGCCACTTAGCCAGAAACAAACTAGACATCTCTTCCTACTTCAAAGTGCCTGCTCCATTTTTAGGCTATGCAATAAGTTCCTGTTTCCTGTTTGAGAACATCTTCAGCTCTCGGCTCAGAACACAGATGACGAACATGTCCTGAGTGTACTGAATGGGTAACCAGCTCATGTTACCAATCCTGCTGCCCTCCTCTTGGTTTCTTTGATGATTCATCAGTTAGAAACTCCCCAGGCAATAGTGGCACATCCCCCCTTCCCACCCCAGATCTTTTTTATTTACATTCATATTTTAAGCATTAGAAAAAAATTAAACATGTACTCTCTAACCAAAGACGAATGAACGAGGACCTCTATCACAAACCTGTTCAGGCCATTCCAAGGTGCCCTAAAAACCTTTCCTTTTAAACTATAGTTACTAACTAGATCCTCTTTTAAATGAATTTATCTCTGTTAAAATGAATTTATTCTTACCAAAATATAATATGTTTCTTTATCCTCAATGCTGTTATTTCCTCGTTGGGATTTTATTATAAACATAGTCCTTCTCAGGACTTTCTCTGTAGTATATTTTATGCTGCCGTTTCATGTGTCATTGTTCCTTCATGTTTCCAACAAAATCATTGTCATTTAAGCTTCCTATGCTCTCTTTTTTCTTTTTCAATTAACCTTTAAGCTTTCCGAAGACACAAACTGCACCTCATGTTTCTTGTCCCCTGTCCACTCTTATTACTAGTGCTAGGCACATCCTGAGAGTTTGGTGAGTCCTCGCTTAATGGACTGTCGCCAGTGTATGTTTTTGTAACCTATCTTTCTTTAGTATCAGATACTATTTTCACTATTGTCAATGCTTCTACCTTTAGTGTTACATGGACCTTTTTACTTCTAATTTGCCTCTTTCTAATATTTAGTGTGATCTTGAGTAATCACCTTGCTAAAACATAATATTTTTAAATAGGCATCCATAAATACATAGGATCTGAGGCCTAGGAGAGATATAGACAGGTTTTATAGCTCTAACTTTCAGATTCAACTATCACTGGATACTTTAATAACCATTCTGATTATCATAAAAACAGGGTTTACTAAAAATTAATAATGGCTATATTTAAATATTTATTACCAAAATAATGGTGAGCATGTAATTTTATATACAATGACAAAAAGCAAAGGTCTTCATTTTTTCAGCCTGAGCCTCATGGAATGTGCAAACTTTGGATGATTATGGACACCATTTTGGTGGTTTGGAAACTCAAGTTTGTTTTTTCAGCCCTGGTCAACCAAGTCTTGGAAGATTTATTCACCCAAACCAAACATACAAGAGATTAACCAAGAATGCTAATTTGTTAATTTACCCACAGATAAAATATCCTGGCCTAGTAAACCAGCATACTCATGTCAGCTAATTGGTGTCTCTTCCCAGGGGAAAAGTTTACTTAGTAAGGATTAGGGCAGAGTTAAGGTAAATCAGTTATTTTAAGATGTCATCAAACTGTGATAGCCTGATATATTGCATCCTCTAGGTGACCGTAATTATTTTACTTAGAAACTATCAATAGTAGCCTGATGCAATAAAGTTTCTTGTTTGTGCAAGAGTCCAAAGAAGGTATTTCTGACTTGCCATCTCTCTTGGGTGGCTCTCCATCAAATAACAATCCTGTTTTCTTCCTTCTTCTGATCCATCCCCTCTTGGATGTTAGAATTCCTTGCTAGATCTTTTGTATCTGGGCAGAAACAGAGGAAGTTAATTTAGAGACTAGGCCTAGAAGTGCATCTATTGCTTCTGCCCACATATTATGGCCAGTTCTCAATGTGTGCTTCTACCTAACTGCAAGGAGGCTAAGACGTACAATTTAGCTCTGTACCCAGGAGGAAAAGGAAACAGTGTGGTGAGCCACTAACAAGTCCCTGCCACATACACTGTTCTCTATAGGACCAGAACTGTCAACAAGCCTGGAACACCTGTGCCATCTCAGTTGGGCCCCTTCCCTGGGCAGACACTGGCAGATCTTCACTAAGACTCTTTTGCAATTTTTCTTCCCAGTTGCCAGAATCATCACCACTGACAATCCTTCCCCATGACAGGAAGATTGGCATTTTCTCAGACTCCTGCTTGTTTCATATTAAAACTACACCTTTCTTTCTAGGAAGATTGTAATAAACTATTTGTGAGATTTGGGAGCGACCCTATAATTATTGCTGATATAATCATTAATACTTTCTTGATTGGGCATTTTGTTGTAAACATTATCCAATTTGACAATGGACCATGTTACCTTTAGTTTCAGAGATTGAAATGTTCTTCCTTGACCCCACAAACAGACAATGCATTCCTGTTGGAAATTTTTAGCTCTTTAAGTTTATTTTGTGTATCATGAGTCAAAAAGTACTGCTCTTGAGTCTTTCGTTTTACTAGTAAGTGAGGCACAAAATTTAAAAAGATGTAAATTCTGTCATTACATGCTAAAATTTAATCTGCTCAAAGAAATAGTGCAATACAGCCTTTATAAAGAAAAACATTTCATTCTTTAGGAATCTCAGGTTATTGCAAGCTGTCTTCTTGTCTAAAATTTGTTATAATTATTTATAAAAAATAGTAACATTAAAGAATGATTGTATATGCTCTTTTGGAAAAGGTAATTATCAGTCTCCATAAAAAACAACAACACTGCTCTTAATAGTCAGAAAAAAAAACTAATAAAAAGTAAATGGAGAAACAAAAAAAGAAACACACCCGTACTTCGCTGTGTCACCAGGAATAGGCTCAATATTTTAGTCCAACTTACTTCATTATGTAACTAAACCGCCAGACAGTATTTTGCTGCTGACAACTGTTCTGAAAGTAGCATGAACTTGGAAAGTCCTTAACTACTAACTTCCTGGATCTCAGCTTCCTCATCTATAAAGTGAGAAAAATCACAGTGACTCTAGACAGGCTTAACTGGAGACATATAAAGCACACTAAAATACTGCAGTATTTAGATGGATTGCCAGGAACTTCTCAATGTTATTTATATTTGCTTTGCTATTTATAGAACTGGCAGCCTATCCCCTTTCATAATAATGGAGATAGCTACCATCTGTTGGACACATAACTATGTGTCCAACGCTTTACCTATGTTATCTTATTTAATCTTTGCAACAGGCCTGGGGGATTTTTATCCCTGTTTTACTCCTATTGAATGGGGACACAGGAGTCAAGTGATCTGGCCAAAGTGACAGGGCTACTAAGCCACAGAGAAAAGACTTCATCCTAAGTCTTTCGGACTCCAAAGTTCATATTCTTTCTTCTGTAACATATGGCTTTCTGCTTAGCAAGAGACTCTCCTCCTGATACAAACATTCAGAGTATAAGGTTGCCAAAAGATTAGCTTCCTTTCAACAACTTGTCCATGGGAGAATGACAAAGAAAGATTAATACTACATGAGTGAGGTAAGGGTTTATAATTTGTCAAGTACCTACTCTGAAAGTTCCTAAAGAAACGTATTGTCTTGTTGAAGAGCTTGCTCATATATTATGAAAAACTACTGTGTCCTGGATACATTCCAGACCTTGCAAACACTTCCAAAAGTTCAATCATCTTTCCTCCCAAACTGACTTACCTTCCTCTGTTCTCTAATGGCAACATAATTATTCATCCAATCAGTGCAAGCCCTTTTCCCTTCCTCCAACTGTCCACATCAGGTCAGAAGAAGGATTGTGTTGGTCTTACCTGTAATCACCTCCCGTTTTCATCGTCTCTGCCTCATCCTTTCTTGCCCTTCATTATAACAATGGATTCTAAATGAGTCTTCTTTTCTCTAGAAGGTCCTCCAAAATATCTCCCATAAAATGACCTTTCTAGAAAACAGACTTGAGCATGTTATTTTCCTGCTTAAAAACCTTCCTTATCTTTCCACCTCTCAGAAGGTGAATTCTCCATGCATGATCTTCATTGCCAGCTTCATCTTCTGTTTTCCAGTATTTTCTCCATTGTCATTACACTCAACTAGTTGAAATTCCTCAAATATACTAAGCATCCTCACGTCATTATTTAAATTGGATATTGTCCATGCAAACAAAAAGCATAGGAATTGGAAAGTTATGCTAACAAATATTGGTCATGTCAGAACATAGCTATGATTTTAAGTGTATATGCTTAATTTAAAACATAAGTCTCTATTCCTTTAGTATTGGGCTTCACAGCCCATTTTATTTCTCTAACTTTGTAGTGACTTCACTCTAAATATGGGGAAGATATTGAGAATGAGATGTGACTTCCTTTACCCTCTGTAAATATTGGATGTAACTTTAGAAAGTTAATTTGATGAATCCAATGATGAAAAAATGTTGTTATAATCAAAATAAGGAGGTAAAAGATCTTACCAAGATAAACAAAATTAAAAGAAAAATTATGACAAGTATTAAAAAATCAAGAATGTTCCATTTGGATTCTAATTCATTTGCAGGTCTTCTTGACACTTTAAAAGCTTTACCAAGGCTAGGGATGTAGTTCACTGGTAGAGCACTTGCCCAGAGAACATAGGCCTTGGTTTCAATGCCCAGCACTGCAAAGAAAGGAGAAAAAAATAAAAAGGAGGACTACTGATTCTTAAATCATTTTTCTTAGCAATAGCCATTTTCATCAGTTTCAATGGTTGGTTTCAAATGTTTACATTTTTATCCTCTCCCCAGGCAGCCACAATAAACACTTTTCATGTAATGAATCCATTGTGACTTGGAATATATGGACTATCCCAGAAGGCATAGGCTTCTCTGTCTTTAGGCGTTGTTTTATTTTATTAAAGGATTGGCCAGCATAGAATTATTTCATTCATTTGACAAGCTTCTGCCAGTAAGAAATGTAAGTCACAAACAACAGGACACTTATTGACATTACTTATTTCTTTTTCAGCTTATTCACCCCAGTGACATTCTAAAGTTAGGCAACTAAATAAGAATTAGGCTTTGGGGCTTTGGATCCAAATCAAAACTTGACTCCTTGAGCTAATATTTCTTTTCTTTTCTTTTCTTTCTGCCCTCTGGGTCTAATTTCTCTGGGTTTACAGTATATGCAAACATGTTTCTCATTAGTGTTTATTTACTACCATAGGAATCACTTTGAACCCTTATGATCCTAGTGGAAATACTTTTCTCAAAATAAATCCAGATCATATTGGGTTTTATCGTGTAAATTATGAAAAACTAACTTGGGACCGGATCACTGAGGATCTTCTCTTAAACCACTCGGTAAGAGACAGCAATGGTTATGAATTGTTTTATTTTTATTCTAAGAATAGCATTTTAATGAATGATATTAATTTTTCTCAACACATTTTCATTTAACTATGTTTCATTTTTTTACTTCTTTTTTTTTTTCCTCATTTTTCCCAGCAATTTTCTTCGGCTGACCGTGCAAGTTTTATTGATGATGCTTTTGCCTTGGCAAGGTAGGTTTTATAATGAGATCAGATCATTTAAGATATTGTGGGTTTTCCCATAAATATTTGCTTAAATGAATTACAACATTTAAGTATTAATCAATTTTAGTTTAAAATAGTCAAGCCAACATTTTAAACATCATTGTTTTTATTGGCCCTCTTTTTTAAAAAGTTTATGTGTTCCTCATAACCAAACTGCTGATATTAGCTTGTCACTTATACACAAAAACCCACACACCCTATTGACTTTGAGTATGGGTTGTTCTGGATCCGAGGCCTTGGGCTAATTAGGAGTGATATTTGCAAAGGCTCAAAAGTGTACCTTCACAATTTGATTTAATAAAAAGGTAACCAATGTGTTTTATTAATTTGGTTTCATGACCCCAAGCTCATTGTAAAACTTGCCTAGAATTGTCAAATCTTGTTCAGGTCATTGAGCCATGGTGTGCCACGATTTATCAGAATTAAGATTCCATTTAAGAAATTTGTCTCTATTTTTTATTTCTCATGATCTGAAGGTAATCTGCATGTAGAAAAATACAATCAACACAAATTAAGGGAAGAGAGGATTCTTAACCATGGTAACTCTAAATTTTTTTCAGATAGTTGAACACTAGTTGGTTGTTCAACAAGTATTTATTAAGTTCCCAATACTTTGCAGAAGTTGGAGACACAGCCCATTTTATTTCTCTAACTTTGCAGTGACTTCACTCTAAATATGGGGAAGATATTGAGAATGAGATGTGACTTCTTTATGTAGCCTCCCATGGCTCCTTTGTCTGGGTTGGGTGTTCCTCTTTTGGGTCCCTTCTTCTCCCACAGTATTAAATCAACATTATTTATTAGTTGTCCATTTCACCCATGAAATAAAAGTTTCATGAGGGTAGGCACCCAAACCCAGCTCATGGCTGCATGTGGCTGTTAAAGTTGATGCTCAATAAATATTGCCTATAGGGATGGCTGGTATAGATGGCTGGCAGGATCTATAACAGCAGCAAAAGGCAGAGGAGAAGTATTTTTTACATGGACTTCCTGAACAGCATATTAGAAGTCAGAAAACCTTGGCATTTTTCAAGGAAGAAATAATAGGTTAAAAAGCAGGCTTTTGAACTTGATTAAAATCCTGATTTCATGTAAACTTAAGTCTTCTAACCTCTCTCTGGTTCAATTTCCTTATTAGTAAAATGGAGATGAACTTATAAGGCTATTGTGAGGAATAAATGAGATAGACATAAATCACCCATCATATGACTTTTCTGGCAGAAAGTGCTCAGTAAATTGTATTACTTGACCAAAATGCATAAACTATTGATTATTAGCAGCAAAGATAAGATACATTTAGAAAAGTGATTCTGAATTTGTAGTCTTTATAGGTGGTGTAGAATATGATGCTCTTTAGTGAATTCTCAAGTTTAATCTGCCAGATATGTAATAGATTAATTTTTTCATTTCATTACAATATGCGATTTGCTCATTTAATGAATATGCATTGAGTACCTACTAGGTATAACGCACTGTGTACACCCTGGGAGACTAAGTAGTAAAAGAAGATGACTGATAAGGATTTTTAAACATAACAGAATTATTTAGAATTTTTTTTTTTCTGGAAAACTCTCCAGATGCACTGTGTACCATGACCTTTTCCCAAACTTAGCCTCTGTTAGAATTACAATGAATTGCAGTATCTTTATCATTTAATTCCCATCACAACACAATGCAGATTGCTCTTTTTGTTCTGAGATGAAGGGAACAGCTCTTGAATACTTCTCTCAGGAACTGGATATAAAGCAAATAGCTCAAACTATAGAAAAGACCTTTTTTGCATTTCTCAGCTCCTTAGCCATGACCTCATAAAATTTTTAAGAAATATGGGAAGGAAGAAAGTGAAACTAATTTAAAAAGCAAACCATATGTAGAATCACACCACCGCAGAGCTGGAAATACCTGAGTTAACACCTGGCCCAGTTTCCTTCTACAACATATGAAGAGAACTGGATTAAGAGAGGAGCAGACTCCACCAAGGCTGGTGACAGCTGTGTCCTTTCCACTCGGAAACTTTAGGAGGGAAGAAATGTGCAGTTAAGCAGATAAGTACCTGTGGAAGGATTAGAGTTTACACAGGTCTATTGAGGTGTTAAAAAAATTAACTTTATGTTTAATAATCAGGCTGGGCACAGTGGAGTACCCACCTGTAATCCCAGCAATTTTGGAAGCTAATGTAGGAGGATCAAAAATTCCAGGCTAGCCTCAGCAAATTAGTGAGATCCTATTTCAAAATAAAAAACCAAAAGGGCTGCGGATGTAGCTCAGTGGTAGAATGCCCCTAAGTTCAATCCTGAAAGAAAGGAAGGAGAAAGGAGGGGAGGAGGGAAGGAAAGAATATAGGAGGGAAGGAAGTAAGGGGGAAGGGGGAAAAGAAAGAAAATTCTCAACCAAGTCTGACCTTCAAATCTAGTTTTTTTTTTTATTGACTTAACAAATGTGGTTTGAAACCCAACATCAATGTAAGACTGTTTTCTGGTGTTGAGTTCCATAGAAGGAGAGACTGAAGTGGAGGTTCTTTTACAAATCATGAGATTTGGGGTAGGAGGGTAGGAAAAGGGTAGGAGGAAAATGGGGCCCAAGATGTCCTCTCATCTGAAGTCTGGCTTTGCCAGATTCTAGCAGGAAGCTATGAATTGTAGGGGAGCAAGTTCAACTTGAGGGAAGCTGTTTGGCCTTTTGTATTTCTGAATTGACAACCCTTGGAAATGGGTGGCTGTTGCACAATTTCTTTGGCAAGATGGATATGTTTGGCCAAGGGCTATTTTCTGGAGAAGGCAGAGCCAGGAACCCACAGATCACCATGAAGGAATCTGGCGCAGGCCCTCCGAATGTGTTTGTCTTTCTTTCTTTCTTTTTTGGTATCAGGGATCGAACCCAGGAGTGCTTAACCACTGAGCCCATCTCCAGCCCTTTTTATTTTTTATTTTGGGACGGGGTCTTGCTAAGTTGCTTAGGACCTCCCTAAATTGCTCAGACTGGCTTTGAACTCGAGATCCTCCTGCCTCAGCCTCCCGGGCAGCTGGGATTACAGGCATGCTCCACCATGCCTGTCTTTGTCTTAAAAACCATTTTTAGAATAGAGCAAGCAGATTGGGGGAGGGAGGAGAGGAGGGAAAGGGAAAGCACTGTGGAATGAGATTGATCAAATTATGTATATGTACAAATATGGCATAATGAATCCCACAATTATGTATAATTATAATGCACCAATTAAAATTAAAAAAAAAAAACACTTCCTAACACTTGTTCCCAATAAGCCATATCAGCATTGTCTGGGAACTTAGGAGAAATGCAAATTCTTGGGCCCTACCCAAAAACTACTGAATCAGAAACTCTGGGAGTGGGGCCAAACAGTTATGTATTTAATAAGCCTTCCAGGTGTTGCTAGTGTGTGCTTAAATTTGAGAATTCTGGCTCTAAATGATACTGCTCTTCTGATTCAGTAAATGGAAACTTCAAAGTAAGGTGCTTTGAGGAAAATGAAAAGTTGGTTGTCAATTCAGAAATACAAAAGACCAACCAGCTGGACTTCCCTTAAGCTGGACTCACTCCCCTACAATTCAATGTTTCCTAGTGGAATCTGACAAAGCTTAACTTCAATTAATACTTTTAAATATATATACATACATACATATATATGTATGTATGTATATATATTTAGTTGCATATGAACACAATACCTTTATTTTATTTATTTATTTTTATGTGGTGCTGAGGATCAAACCCAGTACCTTACATGTGCTAGGCAAGCGCTGTACCACTGAGCCACAATCATAGCATTCCATGAATACTTTAATTCTTTAAGTATTATCCATGTAATTATTATCAACCAGCAACAATTCACTCCCTGTCCAGTGTTCTGGTTCTGTGACTCAGACATCAAGAAAATCAGCAATACCAGAGTAGAACCACTGCATATCAAGTGTACTGGGAAAAAAATAATAGACTAGGATATTAATTTTTCAAAGAACTTGAATATATCGTATTTAGATCCTTGGTTTTCCTCCTTCTTCCCAGTTAGACAATTCTCTTGGCTTTTGTAACCAAGGCCCATTCCTCTGAATCTTTTCACTTTCTAGAAATGTGTGGCCCACTTGGTTTCTGACCAGAGTCTATTATTCTTCCTAATTTTTTCTTAACCACTTCACTAATTTGATCCTCAGAGTGACAATGATTCTTTAGAAGTTTCCCAAGATAATGTTGATTAGGCCTAGATGTTGCTCTATCCAGTTGAGAAAGTATAGAATCACTAACATTAGAAAACTCTCAAGTCATAAATGTCAACACAAAATTCTATAATTTTTTAGTTAATAAACATTCTTTATAATAAGCTACTCCATTTCTCAAAATTCTTTATGCTTTTGTTAAGGGAGGCTGAATGCTCTTGAATAGAAATCCTTCTAGATCAGAGCAGGAACTGAGAACATATGAAGAAGAATTGGATCTTTGAACTGAAAACAAACTATACTCCTATCTTTCCAATACTCATACATTCTCTAAGCAAACTCTTAAGGGAGGAATCAATACATAATTACACTATTGTTTATTTTTAAAATGATCTCAAACATAATAGCACTCAATGCATCAATATTCCTAAATTCAATAATTTTAAAAAATCAACCTTTAGTTTAAACTTTCAAAATGTGATTTGGAAAGACAGAATTTCCATCTAACGTTCTTTTGGAAATCTAGGCTAAGATTAAAAGGTGTAACAAGTCCTGAGAATGTTGATTTCAAAAGGTTCTAAGATGTCTTAGAGGAGAGGAGAAGTTAGATTCTTTAAACTTTGAAATGTCAATAGTACCTTCAAATTTTTTGGAAGAGAAAAGTCCATTTTTATTTATGAAGATTACTGGGAAATGTATAAGAAAAGAGATGTTACAACTGGAAATATAAGCTCAGTTTTAATGCTTTGTTTAAAGCATCCATGATTCGTACTACCCTTCATGTTTCTTCTTCATATTAAATGTAAATAATTTCAATAAAATACACTTATAATGAAGTCTTTATGTATTCTAATCAGTTTGTGAACTTAAAATTTAAAAGCTTTTATTCATCATTATTAACCACATATCAAAATGGCTTTGGTTTCATCTGAATTTTTGCCATAGCAACTTTTTAAAAATGTACATCTTAATGTTATGTTTTCTTCATTCTATTATCGCACTCATATATCATTTTGAACAAAAACCTTTGGATTGGTCCTCAATAGTAAGTGCAATTTCTTAATTGATTAATAAAAGAATTCTCATTAATATGGAGTACTGGGGATCCCCCATATGTTGGTACTTTTAGCCAAATGTAAACTAAAATCTGTTTTCTAATTAGTTATGTATGTGTGCATGTTTTGTTTTGTTTTGTTTTTTTAAGAGCTCAACTGCTGGGTTATGATGTGGCTCTGAACTTGACCCGGTATCTCAAAATGGAAGAGAACTTTTTACCATGGCAGAGAGCCATTTCAGCTGTAACTTACATCATTAGCATGTTTGAAGATGATAAAGAGCTATACCCCATGATTGAGGTGATGTTGCTGCTATAATAAAAATATAAACGTTTAGTCATTAGTAAAATAGGATGGTTTCTGAGGGAAGAAGCTCCTAGGGGACATATCATCGCTACCTCACAAGTGAAAACAAAACAAAGTGCAATCTTGACTAATCAACTTAAGGAGATGCTATCTATTCTTTTTCAATTTGAAGCATATCAGTATGTGTAGTTTTGTATATTGCATAAGGTATAAATCTGAGTATTAGAATAAATACAATAATAAATATTTTATTTAAAATTTATAATATTTTAAACTGTAAATACTAACTGGATCTTACCTTAAATGGATTTATCTCTGTTAAAATGAACATTCTTCCCCAAATATAATATTTCCTTATTCTTGAGGCTGTTATTTCCACATCAGGATTTTGTTGTAAAATAGTCATTCCAAATTGCTTTGTTATGTCTGTGGCACTTTGGTAGTTCACTTGTAATTTTAAACCAAATCTGGATTTGAATTTCTAGCTCTTTCACTTACTAAATGAAAGACGTTGAGCAATTAATTTAATATTTGTAAATCTTAGCTTCCTTTTGAACAATAGGAACATCAACACTCATCTGCCTTTGTGAGGATCAAATTATATGAAAGTTCTCTGTAAATCCTAAATATCAGTTATTTTTATTATTTCATCAATACTTGAACAACTTTCTTAATGCTAGAACTGTGTCAGGTGTTTTCTACTTATTTCATATAATAACTAAGAAATGGAGGTTAAAAAGGGATTACTCAGCCAGGTGTAGTAGTGCATACCTGTAATACCAGCAACTTGGGAGTCTGAGGCAAGAGGATCACAAGTTTGAGGTCATCTGGGCAACTTAGCAAGACTCTGTCTCAAAATAAAAAAATAAAAAAGAGCTGGAGAAGTAGCTCAATTGTAAATGACCTCTGGGTTAAATTTCCAGTACCAAACAAAAGAAAACACCTGGGCATGGTGGCACACACCTGTAATCATAGTAACTTGGGAGGCTAAGGCAAAAGGGTCACAAGTTCAAGGCTGACCTAAGCAATTTAGTGAGGCCTTAAGCAACTTAGCAAGAACCTGTCTTAAAACAAAAAGTAAAAAGCACTGGAGATGTTGCTCAGTGGTTAAGCACCTCTGGGTTCAATTCCTCGTCCAAAAAAAAAAAAAAAAGGCTTACCCAAAGTTTTGTAAAACATTAGAGAAAGATATCCAAGGTGGTTTATGTCCCCATGATTGAAGCAAAATTGTAATGTGATAAAAAAAAAAAAAAAACTGAACACATTCCTTTCCTAAAGTCAGGCCCAGAGTTTTCAAAACTAATAGGAAAATTCTTACAACAAGGGACTGCAGATTACAATAAATGGGAGACTGTTGATAGGTAGCAAATTATTACTCATGGTAATAACCTGATGTTTTTTATTTCAGAAATACTTCCAAGATCAAGTGAAGCCCATTGCAGATTCTCTGGGATGGGATGATACTGGCAACCACCTCACAAAGTAATTTTTCACCTTTTAAAAATTAATCTTCATTTAGTATTTATTTGTGTGTTTTAAGACATGTTGAGAAGTGCTTAAACCCTGGCTTTGTGTTTGCCTGTGTTCTAAGGTTACTCCGTGCCTCTGTGTTAGGGTTTGCCTGCAAGATGGGAGAACCAGAAGCCTTGAATAATGCTTCCCAGTTATTTGAGGACTGGATAAGGACAGGCAAGAGGTGACTATTCACCTTGTTTTTATTTCTAGAAGACTTTAAACTGAGAAATGAGCCACTGACATCTCTGAAACTTTGCTTCCTTGTCTAGCATTCCTGTAAATCTCCGTCTTTTGGGTTATCGGTATGGAATGCAGAACTCTGGAAATGAAGCTTCATGGAACTATACTCTAGAGCAATACCAGAAAACTTCATTAGCGCAAGAAAAAGAAAAACTGCTCTATGGATTAGCATCAGTGAAAAATGTTACTCTTTTGGCAAGGTAAGTGTCTTTTTTTTTTTTTTTTTAAGGGTTTGGTGTTTGTGGCACTAAGGATCAAACCCAGGACCTCACATAGTCTGGGAAAGTGCTCAACCACTGAGGAAAAACCCCTAGTCCAAGTTGGGATTTCATTTCATTTATATTAATGGTATTTAGTAGTTTATATATCACAGTCTTTTAAGACTCTGATTAAGAAAGCATTATGTCTTTTTCCCAAAAAAAATCCATTAAAAAATATTTTTCATGTAAGAAACAAAATATCCATCTTGTGATTGAGCAAAAGAATAAAGAAATGTAGTCCCATATAAAAATGTTCTGGAGGTAGGTTTCCTGTGGGGTGCAGTGATATTTTTATCCAGAACCCAGGCTCCTGTTATGCCATGCTCAAGGTGTAGGATGTCTTGTGACTTCCAAAGCTCCAAACATGTTGTCATAACCAAAGATGTCCAGTAGAGGAAGAAAGGAGTGAAAGAACTTATCTTTACAAGGTTCTGTCTTTATAATTAGAGAACAGTTGTGTTCACCTCCCCTTATAATCCAGAACAGACTGAGATGCAATCAATGTGGGTCACACTCCCTGTCTATCATTTGATCATTTGCTGAATAGGATGGACTTGAATTGATTTGAGCCAATCATAAATCTTTGGGGTTATGGTAACGATCTGCCTTCCCTAGGAACCAAAGATATCTAAAGATTCCCAAACTAGGCTCTATCATCAGAGAAAGAGGAGTTCTGCCACAGTGTATATACACATGCATGAACACACGTATACACACACACACACACACACACATTTACATTGTACCCAGAAGGTACAAAGACTGCTTGAAGCCCATCTATGAATCTTTTCTCACTCTTTACCTGTGCCCCAAATTGACTGGCTTGTGCCTTAATTCATTTTTTTTTCTCATTTGTGGTATGAGTTACTTATCATTCATTTTACCACCATTTGTAGTGCCCCTTCTATGTAGGTTTAGACATGTAGATTATGGAAATAAAAGTAAATAAAACATAATGTCTATCCTTCAGCAACTCACAACTTCTTGGGAGAGGCGGAATGTAAACAGTAAACTACAGAATAATACAGTTTGAAAAGACTACAAGAGAGGTTTGCTTTTGCCTAGCAGGGCCAGCAATATGCCTCCATTACCTTAAATATAACTCTCTGCTATAAGGTAGCCCATTAGGAACCTGGTCATTTTAACATCACAGGTACCCCATTAATATGTACAATTTTGTGTTTTTAATGTATCAGTTAAAATTTAATTTAGATTTAAAAAGAAATTGATCATCCTAACATCCCTCAAAACATTATACTTGTCATGACTTTCATAGCATTGTGCTGATTATATCTACTAAGGATATATTAGAAAGTACTTTAGATGCTGTAGTAAGACTCTTGTGGGCCAAGTGGTAGAGGATAAATTGTGCAAAACTTTAGGAGCCCAGCACTTCAGTGCAGTTCCAGGAAGTTCAATGGTTTCGTGCATGTTGAGATATTCCTTTTAAGGTAAAAGACAAGTTGCCACACCTTGTACTACCTTAAAAAAAAAGAGATCATTTTAGTGGACTTAGTAAGCTGCTTTTATTTTATTTTTTTAAGTGGTGCTGGGGATCAAATCCTGGTCCTTGTGCACGCTGGACAAGTTCTCTATATCACTGAGCTACAATGCCAGCCCAGTAAACTTTTTTTTTTTAATTGAGACAATGGAAGGGTGAGGGGGGAGGCTGGGGTTGTGACTCAGTGGTAGAGCACTGCCCAGCATGCATGAGGCACTGGTATCAATCCTCAGCACCAGATAAAAATGAAATAAAGATATTGTGTGTCCACCTACAACTAAAAACTAAATATAGAAAAAAAATCAAGGCAATTGTCCTACACTTGAGTGTGTCACTTCAACCACCTACAAAGTCTTTCAGTTTTTAACGATGACAGAACAAAAGAAGGCTCTCTGAAAAATCCAGGCTATAGTAAAAGCTTTCCTAGAATTCCTTTCTTATCTGACACATATGATAAATATGTTGTATTTCATGAGTACAGGTTTACCTCCTGCAAGTACAAAAAAGGGTAGTATCTTTATTTGCTCTCTGATTATTTCCAAAAGTTTGTACGCTGTTGAGTGATGAGCCAGTAAGATGGGGAACAGCTGATACTAATTTTGTCTGCCAGTCTAGTTTTTAAATCATTTGTTAAGCTACAATTCTAATTTAAATGGTCTCTTGGAACAAATGTCCGGTCTTCTCAAGTTCCTTTTCTTCCACATGTTCCTCCTATACAGGGAGGCATAAGTCATCATGTTGTGATGGAGAAAGAGAATTCTGGTCCTTCCTGGTTTTGCCCTAAGGTGTTGACCTATTTTGGTCATGGACCAGAGTCCGCTGGGTTTTTATAGATCATGTTTTACCTGCTTGGAACACTGTACATTTTCCAGACATTAAAGCTGTGTTCCTGGTCATTTTCTTCTGTTCATAAAGTACCTGTGCTGTGTGGCCTTTTTGTTTTCCCAGCAGCCCTTTGGGCAATCCTATATCTTATTATTAGACTGAAGAATCTCCTAAGTTCCCCTATACAGTTCACAAGTTAAGGGAACCAGGAGCATCACCTTACACCCATTAACATGTTCACCTCACTCTGCCTACATTCACTGACAGTCACCTATACCATAATGGACTTAGCACAAAGGTAGGTACTCAACTGCAGGCCCACCCTCAGAGGACTGGAGAGAGTGATGTTGTTCAGTTTCCCATGTGACTTGGACTTCCTTTAAAGGTTGAGTTTTCTCCAGTCTCAATTAGGGTACACATCTATGGTCAAGTATGTTGTTTCTTGACATGCTAATAAAAATGAAAGAAATGTAGAATTATCTTTTTTCTTTGACATATGCTGATTACTGAAACTTTCTCACAACTCAAATTGAACACTCAGCCCTTGGTTTACCTATTATCTTTTATCTCCCTAAAGATGTGAATGAATCATGCCAATTGGTAAGAGGCTATGGAAACCCAACACTAGAAGAATATGAAAATTCTATCAGCAATAGATATCTATTTTTCAGATGTCATCATAGTGAATAAAATATGTGCTGATCTTCTTTGGAAACACTCTTCTAATACCAATATGCCCTTATGTAGAGCCTCAGGGAGAAATATAACTCTAGGTACAACCACTGCATAAATTTAATAAAAGTATCCATTTGGTCATTTATGTTCATGTATTTGCATCATGTTATAACTAGAGCCAAATAATCTAATCATATAGATTACATTTGGAGATTTTTTCTTATAATCTAGGGAAAAGTAAACAAGTTTTGTGTTTTCCTACAGTGAATAAGAGCATAAACTATTAACCATTTTTTAAAAAGAGCATAAATATTTTATCTTCATTTACTAACTTCTTTTTTAAATTTAGTGGGATAACACATAAGTGAGTTAAGTGTTTATGTTCAACTCCATACATTTATTTTTAAAGGTTGATCATTAAAATACTATGTTTTTTTCTATTTTTAGTATTTATAAAACCATTTAAATTTTTGTGGGGGGAGGCACTAGGAATTGAACCTGGGTTGCTTTACCACTAAGCCATATCCTCAGTTCTTTCTCCCCCCCCCTCCTCCTCTCACTCAGTTGTCTCAGTTGTTGAAGCTGGCCTTGAACTTACAATCCTCCTCTCTCAACCTCCCTAATTGCTAGAATTACAGGTGTGCACCACTACACCTGGCAATAATTTAATTTTTTAATGTTCCTATAGTTCATATTTCTCAAATTCTCAAAATCATGGGCTAATCTTTAAAAACAGTTAAAAATATTGAACCTTTTTAAATTGTGTTTCATCATTTATCATATTTAACTCACTACTGAATTGCAGGAACAAAAGTTATACTGTATTGGCATTTAGCTAACAGTGAACATTTTGAATTGTTTTTGTTTGACTTCTCTTAGGTATTTGGATTTGCTCAAGGACCCAAACCTTATTAAAACTCAGGATGTGTTTACAGTCATTCAATATATCTCCTATAATAGCTATGGGAAGAGCATGGCATGGAATTGGATACAGCTCAACTGGGAATACCTAGTCAACAGGTATGATGGTCTAGGTTGTCTTTGTTTGATATTATTTACAAGTTCCTTCCTTTTTCTCTTTGGTGTACTTCTACTGACATCTATACAATATCTGAAATAACACATCCTCAGAGGTAAAGGAAAATGGTATTTACCTTCCAAGTAAGCAACATACTAATGAATTTTAACCACAATTTTTTTTCCTGGAAATTATTGTTTCCAAACGATCTATACGATTCTGAGATCTGGAGAGATGGCTAAATTGCATTATTTTTAGTTTGGGTAATATAATTCTTCTCATTGTGCTAGTTGCTAGGATAATGCCAGGCACATATTTAGGTCTCAATATTTGAAACTTAAACGAGAATTCCTGAACCTGGGCTCAATTTAGAACCCTGTATCTTATTGAGGTTATATGGGTGATAATGTATATCTCCTCTGACCAGATAATTACACTTGTATTCTATATAGTTCCTTAAAGAGTTCTGAATAGTTCTTCACATTTATTAGCAGGGTTTTGGGGAGGTGGTGGGAGTGGTGAAGGAAAGTTTGAGGATTTTTTGCTGTGGGAATTGAATCCAGGGCCTCAGGCTTGGAAAGCACGCATTCTATCACTAAACTACACCCCAAGCCTGACAACAGCAGTTCTAAAATGGGACAAGAGAAGAGTAAAATCAGTGAAAGAGATGCTTTTCCAAACTTCTTAAGAATTTCTTAAGCCCCATGCAGAAGAAATATTGCTATTCTTGGTTCTGATCCTCTAAATGCAATTTTCATGAAAAAAAAAAGCATTTTTTAAAAATGTAAAATAAATACATGCCTCAAATAAATGTGTAGCTGGGTGCAGTGGCGCCTACCTATAATCCTGACAGCTTGGGAGGCTGAGGCAGGAGGATCACGAATTCAAAGCCAGCCTCAGCAAAAGCAAAGCACTAAGCAACTCAGTAAGACCCCGTCTCTAAATAAAATACGAAATAGGGCTGGGGATGTGGCTCAGTGGTTGAGTACCCCTGAGTTCAATCCCCAATACTAACAAAACAAAACAAAACAAATAAATGTGTAAAGATTGGTGCACATTTACCACCTGTAGTCCTCACCTTAGGAAACAGCTTCTGTTTTCCCTTTCCATTCTCTCAAGTCATCCAGAGGCACCACCTACTTGGTAATGACTGCCATGTGAGAAATACCAACTACAACAATCCTGCTGTTTCTTTTCTCTTTTCTGTTCTACTCACTAGTGGCATTGTGGATATTTTATTTCTTTTCCTTCTGAGATCCACATTATATCTCCAGCTCTCAACTAAGGTGTTTCACATTGCTTTTGCCTATTCATGATAAGATTTTTACCTTTTCTATTCTTGTGAGTAATGAGTGTAATTGTTCATCTGTCTCTAAAGATTGGCTGGTGAATGTATGTGCATGTACATGTGTGTGTTTGTGTTGCTCATGTGCATTGTTCATTTGTTTATAATTTTTTCAATGAAATATTTGGTTTAGAATGAATAAATCTACCTGTTAAGAACATGCTGTTGCCGGGCATGGTTGTGCAGGCCTGTAATCCTAACAGCTGGGGAGGTTTAGGCAGGAGGATCACATGTTCAAAATCAGCTTCAGCAACTTAGTTAGACCTTGTCCCAAAATAAAAAGGGTTGGAGATGTGACTCAGTGGTTAAGCAACCCTGGGTTCGATCCCTGGTACCAAAAAACAAAATAAACAAACAAACAAAAAACCATGTATGTTATAACATATGTTCATATCATGCAAGGTAACCTGTTCATTTTTTCTTTCAAAAATGAAATACCTAATGACACACACTGTGTATTTTGTTTTAGTTGAAATACTATGAAACTATTTTTATTTTTTCTTTGGTGTATGGTATAAGGAACCTATGTAAATAAAACACAGTATTTACTTTTGAATTATTGCGAAAAGACAAGTAAAGAATGTTTTATTTCACAAAATAAAATGGTCATTCCCTTACTATTTATTAAACAGAGTATTTTTCACGGCTTATTTTAATAATTCTAGTTTAACTTATTTCAAATATTGCATTTTGCATTTTAAAAAATTACTTAATTATTTCTTTTTTTAATATGTATTACTTAGTTATAGGTGGACACAATATCTTTATTTTATTTTTATGTGGTGCTGAGGATCAAACCTAGTACCTCAAGCATGCTACGCGAGGACACTACCTGCAAGCCACAACCCCAGCCCAGTTCATTATTTCTTAATTAAAAAATTAAGAAATAGAAAAAATAGGTTTTACCTGCCATAAAGGTCATAAACATCTAGCCTAGAATAAATGTATTAGACCTAATAAACTGAATTTTTTCCTAGGGAAAATAAATTGATAAACCATTTCCAGAACCGTTCTAAAACCCTTGCCCAAGGCTTTTAGTATTTCTTCACAATCTAATGATCTTTCATGAGGCATTATTTTAAATGGCCCCAAACATAAAATTGTATAATAACCACATGTCTGACAGTTACACAAAAAAGCAATATTAATTATGTTTGGTTTGAATAATAGAATTTCCCCATGCAAAATTATATGACAAATTAAGCAGAAATGAGCCAAATTTTTTTCCAAATGTGTTTTCAAAATTTTAAGATAAGTAGTTTTACTGCTTCTATTTCTGAACTACTTAGTGTCATTCTAAAATAATCTACATTTTAAAATACAGCTTTTGTCATGTGATTTCTATGACAACTAATCACCAGACCACTAATGTCCTTGCCAGTTTGAGCCTTGACCACAAAGTCCCAAAGATACTTGGAAATTATTCTTTGTTTCTTCTACTAAACTCTTAGGTGAAACTGTGAAGTTGAAAGAACCCACTAAGTCAGTAGTATGGTATAATAAAGTCTGTTTTCAGTCTGTGGCAACAGATGAAAAATCAAGTCAATAATTTTGGCTTAAAGAACATAATCAAACATGACCGAAACTAAACACTATCTCATAGACAACATAATTTAATAAGAACTTAATTAAAAGTTCTGTGTGCATCAAAATAATTTCTTAGGGGTAACACAGTAATACTTACATAAATATTAAGCCCAAGAAGATAATTTTTATATAATTTTCTAATTATTTACAATATTATTAAATCCTTATTTTAGTTTAAAAAATAACCAATATGATAAATACCCAGCATATTTCCCCTGACTTTCTATTCTTGATATGATATTGGTTTCTTGGGATAAACATATTTGATTCTCTCATTTCTAGATTTACACAGGTATTTGTAATTTTTATTAATCTATTTATTGCTAGCTCTCAAATATTTTCTTTGATTGTTTAGTCACTAAGAACAAAACAGAAAGGTACTATGGAAATTGTAGGTCATTGACAAATTCTTATTACCTGCATTGTAGCAGACTTTGAATCTCATTTCAGGAACTCAGTTATGTCTTTCTTCTTAAAATCCCCTCTTATTAGAGAACTGATTTTTTTTCTTTTTTTACAAAAGGTAGATAAGCATTCTTATCTTGTTCATAATGCCTTTTATGGTGCAAAATAACCTAGAAATAATTTTGTTGTCATATTACCATTTTTCCTCTAGTCATTTTCTATGGTTATTTATTTATTTTATAGAAATGGAATTATACATGTGACTTTATAATTTGATTTTTTATACATATCACTCTATCTTGTAGATGTCTCTTCATGTCTTTAGGTTGGTTTTTGAATGTTGTTTTTAAGGACCCAATAGTATTTTAATATATTTTAGTTTACTTAGCCATCTTTTAGACAATGTCATTGTTCCCTGACTACTATAAATAATGTATTGTGAACAATACCTTTGAAACTGAGTTTAATTGTTCTTTTCAAATGTCCCTGACAATAACTTTGGGATACAGTTAATGCTAGAAGTATTACTACTGGGTTAAAGCATGTGTCCATTTCTAGAGTTTTTGATAAATATTGTAGAATCATGATACAGAAAAATTTCACTAACAATTGCCCATTTTTCCAACCCTTCCAATATTCAAGATTGATATTTTTAAGTATTCTTGGTAACTGAATAAATAAGAACTAATATCTCATTTTAAACTATAAATCTTCCATCCAATAAGTCACGTGGAGCACCTTCCATGTGCTAAGCATTACGATTGGCATTGGGGATGGAACATTTAGGAGAAGCAAACCTCGTTTTCTGTCCTCATAGAGCTTAGAGTTTAGTAACAAACACCAATAATATGTGAAGAATCATACAAATGCATGTGTACTTAAAATTGTAACAACTACCAATAGAAGTAGTTCAGGGTGTGCCAATATAAAGGGGAAAATAGAATATCATCTCTACAATTCTGTTTTGGTACTTAGCTTAACCAGCTTGTTATAGATCATGTAGATCTATAGTACACTACTAAGAATTTCTCCTGAATAGAATTACTTTCAGTTTGTTTTTTTTTTTTACTGTGTTTAATTTACTTTGAAAATTACTTTGAAAACATACAGATCATAACTTGCAAAATGCAAATAGCTATAGACCAAATAGACCAAGTGGAAAGAAGTTGGAAGAAAGGGCTTCCCTAAGGACATGATGGTTGAGCCGGAGGAAGTGCAGGAGTGAATTAGGCAGATGGGAAGTGAAGCATTTCTGGATGAAGACCTATCAGTAGAGAGAAGAGTAAAGACCAAGACTTGCAGAGTCATGTAAAAAGTTGGACTTGTGTTCTAAGCAAGGATGAGTCACTGAAGGTTTTTAAGTAAGAAAGTGAAATGATGAATTTTACTTTGAAAAGAAGCTCTGGTGGTAAGATGAAGGGTAGACCTAGATGGGGGCCAGAGTGGGATTTGGGAAAAGCCGTTAGCTGCTGTGATAGTCCCAGCAAAAGCCAGTGACAGATTGGACTATGGATGTAATGGTAACGATGAAGAGACAACAATAACATTTAGAACCTGGTGGTAGATTGGAAACGGAAGATGAAAGTGAGGGGACAAGGGTAATGCCTAGATATGAAAAGAAAAGTGTGTTTGTATGTTTCTCTGTGAAGCAGAGGCAAGGATATCTTTAGGAGGGAAGAAGCAGAGTTTAGAGGTTGGGAGAGTGAAAAATCTTTGAAAAAGGTAATGCAGAGAGAAAGTGAATGAGTTGGCTAGGGTAATGTAGAAGCATCATCAGTGTGAGAGTCCGTTTAAGTTAAGTTTGAGGGCTGGGGATGTGGCTCAAGCAGTAGTGCACTCGCCCAGCATGCGTGCGGCTGGGGTTTGATCCTCAGCACCACATACAAACAAAGATATTGTGTCTGCCGAAATCTAAAGAATAAATGTTAAAAAAACTCTCTCTCTCTCTCCCTCTCCCTTTCCCTCTCTCTTTCACTCTCTCTTTAAAAAAAAAAAAAGTTAAGTTTGAATTCATGAATTTATAATGAAACAATATAGGGAAAGTTCAGTGACTTTCCTTGACAGAACTTGACCACCTGATGGAAGCTCAGAGAAAATGGGTAGTTGATTTCACCTGAAGTTAGAGTTTTTCCAGACATGTTATTCAAATTCAAGGGAGTTGGGGGCATACAGCAAAAATGTTATTGAAAATGGTAGCTCGTGGTATCTGAACTACCTAAAGAAATAAGTTGAAAATAAAGAAGATCTAATGGTCCAGGAGAAAGTAGGGGTGCAGATAGCCAAGGGGGCAGAAATCCAAGAATGGTCATAGTAGAAACTGAAAGGTAGATTATGTCATAGAAGGTGCATAAATTAATAACTTCAGGTGCAAATTACTTATGGATCATGCAAATTACTTAAGGTATCATGGGAATTTGTTGATTGAAATAGAGTGGAGAATATATCATTGGAAATAAGGTCAGGAAACTAAGGAGCTAACATGGTAAAACCACCTCCATGATGGGATAGCCTGGAGCAGAGTAGGAGCCAAGTGCCAAAGTGTATTGTATTTGAGAGGAAGTAACCAGAGGGAAGTCTTTAAAGGGAGTGAAGGAATAATGGTCTGGGAGCAGCTATGGGGAGCATGAGCACTCCATTCTACAAACTGCTGCAACAAAGGATGGGGGAAAATAAGCAGGATCTCACTGACAAATAGTGTTTCAGCCAAGGGACAGTTCCACATGGTTCCAGATGCTAGGCAGAAGGTTCAAGAGACACAGGCACATTTTGGATCATGACTGATGATGATATTAGGAATGAAATGTGTGATGGAATTAAATTCAGTGGTGTCTATGGTAAATAAGAGTGCACATTGGCCCTAACATACAAAAGATCATGATTGAATACTAGACTATTTCAACTTTTTCCCAGGGGCAACTTTTCATTCCTTTGCGAATGTCACATTACCATATTTCACCATCTTACACTTTCTAAGTTTCTTTATATGATTAAAATATTTGTTCTATATCGTATCTGTTACATGATTTTTCCCTAGTTCATTTTTTACTTTTAAATTTGTTCATGGCAGATTCTTTTTTAAATTTGTGTAAAACAAACTTTACCAGTTTTTGTCTTCATAGATTTTGCTTTTGCTAGGTGATAATTTTTAAAGATTAAAATTTCTCCTACTATTTTGTATGTTGATAAATTTTCCTGTATCCTTCCCAACATTCCAGTGCTCCAGCTTTATACAGAATTTTGTGGTTGTTTTCCTTGCACTGTAACTAATGGTGATATCTGTACCTGTGTCATACCTATTTATATGATGATCTGTAAGAAAATTTCTGCATCTTGCTCTTAACCAGAGACTATGCAAAAATGACAGGAATAGAATATCATCTCTATAATTATGTTTTGGTACTTAGCTTAACCAGCTTGTTATAAATCATGTAGATTTATAATACATTACTAAGAATTTCTCTTGAATAGAATTATTTTTACTTTAATTTGTTTTCTTACTGTTTAACTTACTTTGAAAATTACTTTGAAAACATACAGATCATAACCCCCAAAATGCAGATAGCTACTAAAGCTTCTGCTTTCCAGAAGCAGAGTTAATGGCCTATGTTCAAAGTTCTGCTCCCGCAAGAAGATGCATGGAGTAGCTGAGTTTCTGCTCTATTGATAAGAACTGGGCCCAGTGTCTACACCTAGCTGCAAGGAAGACTGAGAAATGTGGTCATTAGCTGAGTGCTTCTGTGTGCAGGAAAAAAAGTGCCTAATTGGAGAATAGAGCAAATAGTCCACCATATCTAAGGAAGAGGTGTGAATCTGTCTACAAAGAAACAAAACAAAACAATAACAACAACAAAAGCCCACAAAAGTTACTAAGCATTTCTCCTGAATAGAACTATTTTCAGTTAAATGTGTTTTCTTACTGTGTTTAACTTACTTTGAAAATTACTTTAAAAAAACACAAAAAATAAAAAGGAGATCTTTATTTCTAGAAAAAGATTGAAAGCTCAGGCACTTATACTCCCTTTTATTCCTCTACTTTTCTCTTCAGATTTACACTCAATAACAGAAACCTTGGCCGGATTGTCACTATAGCAGAGCCATTCAACACTGAAGTACAACTCTGGCAGGTACGAAGATAAATTCCTCTCTACTTGTCTAGAAAGGAATATAATTATACCTTTTTTCTCAAATAGAAGTGGTATTATCTCCATTCAAATAAAACAAGAAAGAGAATGCTTGTATCTAATAAAATGTACACCTATTTTTTTTTATAAACTGAAAAAACAAACTTTAAAAGTTGAGAAATATGAAGCCTTAGGTTCACCAAAGCCTGAACAGTGTGCTTCCCCTTTCCCGGTAATTATAACTCTGATCAAGATTTGATTCAATTCAGAATTCATTGTTTTGGAATTTCAAAACTAATCCCCAATTTCTGAATTTCCAGGGAGGAAAAGTGTCCATTAATATTGGACAAAGAAAGATCGTTTGATGTTATTTAGATTTGAAGATTCTTGCTTATGTTAAGAAACAAAAATTATTTTTTTTAACGGAAAATACTACTATGACTGAGTTTTGGGGAGAGTTTGGAGGATAGAATGGAGAACAGAACCAAGCTGAACAGAGATCTTTTTTTATGATTGAGCTGAAATAAATAAACTGAAAGAACATTAAAAAAACTCCAAACTCTCAAAGTGAGAAACTAGATAAAACCGCCCATTCCACTGGCCAGTTTTTCCAGGTAACTCCTGAAGAATGCACAGAAAATAGAAAAGTGAACATGAGCAGAAATGGGCATGCCAGCCACTGGCATGCTGCCCTCCTTCCCCACCCTGTCAGAGCCTCTTGGCTTGGCAAGCTGGCAGGGGTCCAAAAGCCGCAGGTCATGCTTCCTAATGGAGAGGCGGATCTCAGTGCCTTGCAATGATACTGAGTGGCCAGGTAGGAAGGAAACACACCCAGTTTGTGAATGAAATTCTTGAAGAATAATTGGGATTAAAATGACATTCCTAATTATTTCCCTGTCTTTTCTAGATGCAGAGCTTTTTTGGAAAATATCCAGAAGCTGGAGCAGGAGAAAAACCTAGGGAACAAGTGGTGGAAACAGTGAAAAACAATATTGAGTGGCTAAAACAGAATAGAGAGACCATAAAAGAATGGTTTTTTAACTTATCAAATAACAGTTAATATGTTCAAATGTCATATTTTTTAAATTTGTGAAGTTGTTGTTTTTCCTATTAAGCATTTGATGGTCTAAATTTAGAAGCACTAAGGAGAGATCCTTATGAATGGATACTGCTTTTGCTAAGTACTGTGTTGATGTCTTGCAAAGCTTTTAAATTGTTCCTCTTTGTTTATGATGGAAGATACTAATAGAGTATTTAATATACTCAGGGATTTCTTCTAAGTGTACTTCATAGGAGATTCTTTACAAACTGAAGAGAATTTAATAGTCATTTTAATGTCTTTAAATATCATTCTTTGTATCTTAAATCTGTGAAAATAGAACAATTTGGTCTTAGCTTTACATTTTTAGTACCAAAGAAACACCACTTAATCTTCTCTCTTGATTGATTTTTAAAGTTTAAATACCAGTACTTGAGGGACATATTACCATCTTAATCTTTATTTTATTATTCAGAGTTACACAGACCTAATATCATTTTATTCACATATGTCTTACTACTTTAAATCCTACCAAAGTAACCTGGGCTTAAGTTTTGCTCGAGGATTGCATGAATTAGCCAAAGAAATGGCTGAATGTTGCCATTGCTCTTATAAAATCAACAAGAGAACTCTTCTTTCTTTTTTAGAAATAAATCTAAGTTATTACATTGAAGAGAATATTGTTTTTTGATGTCATTTTACTCTTGAGTAAACATGTCAGCATCATTACCCAAATAATTTTTCAAGTTGCAAATATGATTCAGGAACCTGCCTTTTTTCATGCTTGGTACTCTCTCTTCTTTCTCCATTCTTTACAAAGCTCCTTCAAATATGCTATGAAATTAGAGGGAACATAGTGCTTAACTGTGCTCCATGGATTTTAGAGGAAAAAAGCTAAATAATTGGAAACTGTTCAGGAAAGAGAAAAGGTGGATTATTCCATAAAACTAAATGGAATTAGAATTTAGCTTTGACCTCACCTAGCAATCTAAGTGTGAAAATGGGGAAACTCATGGACATCTCCAACATGACTCTGCATATCTGAGGATATATCATCTTATAGTTAAGTTTTATATATAAATCCTTAGATCGTAATCCATACAGAATAGCACTGATCAAATTTATATGCATGACTTGATTAAAGACATCAATTTCATAGAAGCTGGTGGCCAGAATATGTTTAATGTGGCACTCGATGCCTAGTAGATCCACAATGTAAGTCCAACAGGCATTTATCTTTTGATAAATGTCTGTGTCCCAAAGTGCTATATCTAGCAAATCTAAATTTATTTGTAACCTTTGGAAGTATAGGGCAATTCAGGAATGGCTTGATAAAAATTGAAGCACAGGGATACAGTCAAAATCTTAGTAATTACTTTATTTACACAACAATATGCACTAATCATGTACTCCAAACTGTGAATTTTGCTACCACTGTTTCTTATCACTTCTCAATTCACACAGCTCAACTAGCAAATTCAAATGCAGACTGAAGACAAAAATGATACAAAATAAAACACTTCCAGACAAATTTTTTATAAATATTATTGTAAATTAGTTCAGAATGAAAAACACATTAACCTTATAAATCATCAAGAAAACCCCAATAAACTCATGGGGATTAACATCCTAACTTCAAATTCTGGCACCAATCAGAACCAGCACTTAAAGTCCATGTATTGTTTTAAGGGACAAATAAAGAAGTAAGATGGTTTATCCTTCTGCTTTGTGAAATAAATAAAAATTTTAAATGAAAATATAAGTTTGAAGAAGATGGTAAATAAAACAGATTCCAACTTATCAAATAAATACATATACATATGTAAATGGAAATTCATTTAGTATACACACACACACACACACACACACACAGGATATTTATTGTGAGGAATTGGCTCATGTGATCATGGAGACAGACCAGTTACCATCAGCCATCTGCAAGGACATCTGGGAAAGTCTGTGGTATAATTCAGCTTGACTCTGAAGGTCTGAGAACCAGAAGAGCTAATCCAAGTTCAAAGACAGGAAATGATGAGATGAGATGTCTCAGGTCAAGCAGTCAGGTAGAAAAGGGGAAGTAGAATATTTCTTTTCTTCCATCTTTTGTTCTATTCAGGATCCCAAGGCATTAGATAGAGCCACCACTTTGGAGAGGGCAATCTACTCTACCAAGGAAGTGATTCAAAGGCCAACTTCTTCTAAAAACTCCCTCACAGACAAACCAGAAATGATACTTAATCTGAACACCCTGAAGTCCTGTCAAATTGTCACATAAAATTAACAATCACAGTTGACCTTATGGTCTTCATTCATTCATTCATTCATTTAATCATTCATTCACATAACTAATATTTATAAAGTTTCAGTCATATAAGAAATCCCATTTTATGTTCTGGTCATCTTAAATTAGAAATGGATTTAAAAGACAAGTGGGAAGAAAATGAGTTGAGAGGATAATGGAGGAGGATGGGAGAAATAGGGCAGAGAATGTCAACTAACCAGCAATTTGTGTTTTGTCCTGATATTCCTCCTGGAGAACCTTTAAACGTTAACATGGCTACATATATAGGCCAAATGTTGTGAACTAACAGCAATTTAGATTATGTGATTTAAAGGTGTGCTAGATATTGCCCGCTGGCAGGGGACAACATTTCTACATTCTTTATGTCCCATCCTTCTGTATTGCACGGCTGAAATGCCAAACACAGCACTCCCCACACTTCACATGTTTGAGGTCCCACCAATGATGTGAACTTTCATGAGATTTGGAAGGAAATGAGAGAAGAGGCAGAACCCACCTTCTTTCCATGACAGTGCAGGGAAAGACAGTTGTGTGGGAAGGCATGAGTTGGCAGCCTTTGCACTCCATGTCCCTATGTACCATCTCTGTGTAGCATAGAAGTTCTGATATGACTCTCATAGCTTTCTCATTTCTGGGTGACATTAGTAAGTTTTCAGTTTCTGGATCAGAAAGACAAGGATATGTCACCTTGGAACCAGCAGCTTGGCACTGACTCATTTCTATTTCTCTAGTCCTTTTGTAAAAAATATATATTTATTTTTTTAGTTATAAGTGTACACAATACTTTCATTTTATTTTTTTGTGGTGCTGAGGGTCTAACCTAGTGCCCCATGCATGCTTGGCAAGCGCTCTACCTTTGAGCCACAGCCCCAGACCCTCTTAAGCCCTTTTAATAGCATATAAGTTTCTCTCTCAAGAAAATCCTTCTATATTTGGAGAATATACTTAGAATATTTCTTGAACTGACCTCTGAATGATATAGAATGAAAATGCAGATTTTATTTTTTTTATATTTATTTATTTATTTTAGTTGTTGATTGACCTTTATTTATTTACTTATATGTGGTGCTGGGAATCGAACCCAGTGCCTCACACATGCTAAGCAAGCACTCTACCAACTGAGCCACACCCCCAGCCCAGTTTGTTTTGTATTTTCATTTAACTCAATGCTCAATGATCCTTTCCTGCCTATTGTCCCTTGTATGTGTGTGTGTGTGTGTGTGTGTGTGTGTATATATATATATATATATATATTTTTTTTTTTTTTTTTTTAAAAGCTGGCCAGGCATGGTGGTGCATTCCTGTAATCCCAGCAGCTCAAGAAACTGATGCAGTAGGATCATGAGTTCAAAGGCAGACTCAGCAATTCAGTGAGGCCCTAAGCAACTTAGTGAGACCCTGTCTCCAAATAAAATCTAGAAAAGGGCTGGTAAAGTGGCTTAGTGGTTAAGCTCCCCTGGCTTCAATCCCCAGTACCCCCCCCCCCCAAAAAAAAAGCTTCAATCTGGGTCCTTTGCTTGGTGTGAATTAATGAAATGGACTGACTCAGAAAGTCCACTCTGGCTCTACTAATTGCCAGAATATAGGAAAAATTGTGATGGCCAGCACTTCAAATACGGGTTCCTCCCCATGGTAAAGGAAGGTGTTTCACTTTTGTATTATGATACATACGCATATTAGAAGGCACTATTGCAACTCCACTCCTAAGACTATACCCAAGGGAAGTGAAAAACGATGACCACACAAGAACTTATACCTGAGTGTTCATAGAGACATTACTCATAAGAGTCAAAAAGTAGAAATAGCCCAAATGTCCATCAACTATTAAACTTGAAAATAAGCCATAAAGCACAATATTATTTGGCCCTAAAAAGGAATGATACAATGACACATTTTAATATGGATGAGCCTTGACAGCATTATACTAAGTGAAAGAAACTAATTACAATGGGCCACATTTCATATGATTCTGTTTCTGTGAAACGTCCTGACTAGGCACATCCACAGAGACAGAAAAGAGATAGGCGTTTGAAGGTCTGGGAAGGGAATATGGTGAGTGACTGCTGAAGCTTTTTTTGTGAGGTGATAAAAATGTTCTAAAATCAGACAATGGTAATGAACGTACAACTCTGAATGTACCAAAAACACTTAATTATACACTTTAAAAGGGTGAATTTTATGGTATAAGAATTCTCTCTCAATAAAGCTATTATTTTAAAAGTTGCCTTTCTTCTCTTGGAGCTTCACTAAACTAAATTACAGAGGAGCAGTGGCTCCTGAGGAAGCCCTATCTTCCCTGCAATGGACAGTGACAATTTTCCTTTTGCCAAGGTGTTTACAAAGTGTGTCTCTTTTTAAGACTGTTTTTACCTCCAGATTTGAGACTTTGCAAAAAGATTCTTATATTCCGATTCAAAGGTGAAACTAGTTCTTACATTGCATTCTCCATTATCAGGATTTGAGTTGTTGTTGGCTTTCTTACTACCACGGGGAGAGAGGCTAAGTGGAAAGAAGCAAGCGAAGAAGGGAAGGAGAGTCCTGGCCACATTTTTTGAGCACCTAGATCTAACTGCTTCCATACTGCATAGACATCACCTTGTTCTTGGAATCTAATGAGCCTATAAATCTCTACCTTTAAGGTATTTTAAATTGGGTTTCTCTTATTTTCAGTGAAAAGAGTCCCTCAGTGCAAGGTCCCATTATATTCTCTCAAGAAAATTTTATATTACTTGGGGGAGTATGTTATGAAAAAGAAATTGTTAAGGCTAATAGGGTTATTGGCAAGAAGGAAGAATGGAGGGAAGGAAAGAGGGAATAGAAAAGAAAAATGAGAGAGAAGAAGAGAATAAGGGAGTATT